ATGAGCTTGCTGGAGCAGAGCTTGATTCAGATGAAGAAACAACACTGGATGAAGAAGCACTTGATGATTCAGATGAAGAAACAGCACTTGTTGAAGAAGCACTGGATGATTCAGATGAAGAAACAGCACTTGATGATTCAGATGAAGAAACACTAGATGATGAGCTTGCTGGAGCAGAGCTTGATTCAGATGAAGAAACAACACTGGATGAAGAAGCACTTGATGATTCAGATGAAGAAACAGCACTTGATGAAGAAGCACTGGATGATTCAGATGAAGAAACAGCACTTGATGAAGAAGCACTTGATGATTCAGATGAAGAAACACTAGATGATGAACTTGCTGGTGAAGAGCTTGATTCAGATGAAGAAACAACACTTGATGAGGAAGCAATTGATGATTCAGATGAAGACACAACACTAGATGATGAACTTGCTGGTGCAGAGCTTGATTCAGATGAAGAAACAGCACTTGATGAGGAAGCACTTGATGAAGAACTTGCTGGTGCAGAGCTTGATTCAGATGAAGAAGCACTAGATGATTCAGATGATGAGCTTGCTGGAGCAGAGCTTGATTCAGATGAAGAAACAGCACTTGATGAAGAAGCACTTGATGATTCAGATGAAGAAACGACACTTGATGAAGAAGCACTAGATGATTCAGATGAAGAACTTGCTGGTAAAGAGCTTGATTCAGATGAAGAACAGCTTGACTTAGAAGAAACAACACTGGATGAAGAGCTTGAACTTGCTGGGTGTGAAGATGAAGAAGATGAAGCACTAGTGGAGGAAGAGCTAGAGATGCATGGCTTCGAGCTTGATTGTGATGAAGACGAAGACGAGGACGAACTAGAAGTAGATGGAATCAATGATTTTGAGAATGATGAAGTTGAGGAGTGAATACTTGATGAACTTGGGACAAAACTTGATGAGCTACTTGAAGAAGCTGGACATTTTGAAGCTGGAATCTCAACGATCTCAGTGACAGTTTTATCAGAACCAGTTTGAAATCTGGTAGACGAAGTACATCCTGACCATGTTTCTGTAATTGTAACAGTTTTTGGAATTTCTAAATATCGTGTTAGTATTTTTGATTTCTTTTTTTGTTTTTTTTTTTGCAATATTTCCCAATGACTTTAACTTTTGTTTTTCATCCATTTTGGGAAGTCAACCTCTGCCATTCTTAGACGGGTCAACAAATGAAAACAATAAAGTATCAAGGAGTCATATCACAAAGAAACGCGTTTAAAACTTGAACTTACCTGTACCATCACCACCACTTCCTGCATTACCTTGAACAATTTGGAGATTAATGGTGTTAGCTGATTCATCTGTCCAGCCATTATTACAATTAACACGTAAATCATAGCTCACAGCATAGGTACCAGAGATGTAGGTGTACTTGGAGAATCCTGAAAACCAGAAACGTTCACCAGAATTGATTGAGTTGAAAGTTGTTGTAAAAGTTCTTCCATTGCTTGAATATGATGGATTGGCACCACCAAGTGCACTGTATGATTTTGGATAACCAAATGGACTAATGTTTCCTGTTGAATAGGTTTCTGTTAAACTTTGATCCAATTTTCCAAAATCACCTGGTCCACTACCCACTGAAAAAGTGAAAGTACCACTTCTAACACCAGCACCATAACATAGGTTCTTTGGAGCAAGATAATAATAGAAAACATCACCTTTCATGGTGTATCTTGAGATAAATTGAGCTGGATCAGTGTTTGGAGTGTTGAAGCTGACAGTTTTTGACAAATTGTTGTTGAATGTAATGGTGTTTGTACCTGAAGTCCAACGACTTGCTGCTGAAGTTGTTTCAATTCTTCCACCACCATCAAAAATAATATCAAAATCCAAATCACCATTCAATGTATCATAGTTGGATATATCTGCAGTAAGCTGACAGTTGACACTTGTTGAAGATGCTCTTCCACCTGCTTGATCAAAAGTACAACTTGCGATATGCTGACCATTATCTAAAACAATATCAAAATAGTTACCAAAACCACCATTTTGTGTTAATCTAACTTCAAAGACGTTTGGCATATTCAATGTGAAGGTGTCACCAGTTTGAAGATTTTGTGATTGAGTGATTTTCCAACCAACATTAACCTTATAGAAATCAAATGGATAACCATTACCTTGGTACAATTGAATTGAATTGATACTGGTGAATATACCATTAACTTGTTTGGCATATACTTGATGGACAAAGATACTGAACAGCACCCAAAGGCCTAAGAACCTTGAACTCAATGACATTTTTCCCTGAATTGACAATTGCAAACGAAAGATGAAGAGTTGGTAGAAGTTTTAGCGATTGACTGTTGCTTGTTGATGTTCAGATTGTGACCATCAAGCTCAATTAAAATTTGAAAGATATTAGTATATTTATATTTGAGAAATTTTTGAGACACTAGTTCGTTTTCAATCAGACCTTCAGATGTTCTAGAGTCGTATTTGTTGAAGCGTAACTTACTGGCAACCAAAGAGGAAGGTATTACAATCATATTTATCCAAGATGCAGGCTAAAAAGTGGATTGTCTTAAATCTTATTGAGGTATCACCTAGGAATCCCAAAGTTAAATTTTAGTTACTTACACAGATTGGATCTCGATCAACGTCAAGTTACCTTAAAAATTTTCAATTTATTTTTACTCCAGATGGTATTTTATTTTTGCTTTCAAACTTGCAATGCAACTTAAATTGCAACTTGGGAGCATTAGAGACACTTGTGGTATCTTTTCCTTACCAATCATTTCATACAAGTGTGTTTAAAGATCGAAGAACCGAGCAAGAATGGAGCCATTCCAATGTCTGGTGTGTTAATTGAGGTATATGTAGATGTTTAATTCACGAATGCCTTGGAATGACAAGATCAAACGTCAAATACGCGCTACAAAGCAATAGAGTGCTTGTCTTGCTTTAGCGGTATGTTACCGTTTTGTTGTGGGTGATTATTTGGAAGATCTGAAATTGATTCAGTTTAGTTGTTCGACATGTACGGGTATCTACTTTTTAGTGAAGATGTTTCATTGGAAAATACATAGTAGAGAAGCGTATATATGTATGGAATTCAGGAATATGCATGTCATTTATCTCGTTTAAAGTGTAAGTTAGTGCCTGAGCTGTACAAGTTAACTTTTAAGCGAGTACTTGTGTATATAATATTCGAAAAGCTTGGGTGCATGCAGCGTGGTCCAGATCTAGTCGAGAGCTCAGGACTAGCGAGTTCAGGTCAGCATCTTGTACTACACCAGATCCAAGTTCCGTTGAAAACATACTCCATAATAATATCTTTATTAATATAGCTACATATGAAACGACATGTTTTTGTGGGTTTGGCTCCCGTTAGCTCATACTGATAATAAACTATCGATAATATTTTATTAATTAGGCACCTTCAACAGCTGTACATTGTTACTCCACACTCAACAAGAGTCGACCAGAACCTCAAGGCAAGAAGATTGTTCTAGGGTACGCCTTTAGCCCTAAGGAGATCCATACTAGACAAGAAAGCAGCTTAAGCCTTTTAGGCGTTCTCTAGAGTCAGGCGTTGGCTTCTGATCCCGTTAGAGAAATATCCGTTAGGCTGTCTTTCCTACTCAAGACACTGGGAGACCACCTCTGTCCAATAAACAAACACAGCATAGATTCTTTCATATGGCATATGAGCTTTCAAGTTCTGTAAGATTTCAACGTTCTTCGTTGCGACAGTGCCTCGGAAACATTTTTAAAAAGCAGTTCTGTTCCAAATCACTTGTGCCATTGGATTTAGCCTGAATGCTGAATGCTGTACTGTAAGCACCAACAAACACCAGCAGGCAACTTAGACGATGGGAAAGCACATGTCGAAGCATCTTCTTTCATAAAGAACACTACCATATATTCGGCCCTATATGGTTCTCTGGCCAGCTGTAATGAACAAAAACTAACGTCTATGACTCTTTGGAACTAGTTGAGTTTCTATTTTTGATTCAAGAACTTTGGACTGGAATGTCCAGATGTCCTGACTCCAGTCCCCTTTTTTAAATGAAAATACAGCATTATAAGCAGGTGAATGTTGTTCCAGACTCCCTATTGTACTACAGATAGACTTCATAAAGAATGTTATTAGGCTACCATCGTAAAGTTTGATAACGCCTTGTGAAAATCACCTTTGTCACTGGGTCTATCAATATTCACCGTAATCGATTTTACGAATGAAGGTTAAAATTATTGCTAAATCATAATAGCTATCAATATTAACTTCTGGTTGTTGATAGTATTTGAACTTTCAAGGACAAGCGCCAACACTTGAAACTTGAGAACTTGGGTCTGCCTTACATTTCCATCATTTTGTTCGATTAGGTCCAAGCTTGATGGGCCGTACCCATCTGATAACAAACGTATATTGTGTTAAACGGTGTTGAAGTAAAACACTTGGTGTAATATTTCACCATGAACATTCTACATGATCTAGTGCAGGCGACCCTTCATAATCCCTGACACCTCTGGATCATTCTCGAAGAGAATGCAGGCAACACTAAATTCATTCCAGTAGCTTTTGTAGTTACTTCTAGAAGGAACCGACTCATCGTTATGGATCTTGGTGCACATATGGGGCTTTCAAGCTGTTTAATCTGTAACCCTAAACTTTGAGCGGTCGACACTAGCTATGTAGTAATATTATCATCATCAACACTAGCTTAAATACGGCTTCGTTATAACGTCTGGAAGGCAAGCAATGAAATGAAGCTACTTGAGCGTCGACAGATAGCAGTATACAGCTGATTAATTGCTCAAATTAGCTAGTAATAAGTATTCAGTCTAATGTATTCATCAACCATCACCGCTTTGTCAAATTGTAGCTAAATTGCAAAAGGCAAGATACAAGATCCATTAATCTGCACCGTGAAGTATTTTACAATTTTCACTTTACGACGTCGGGCTACGCTCCAGGTTGCTCTTGCATGCCCGTTGATACGCGAACTATTTTTTCCCAACGCCTTTGAACTTTACAATGCTTCCATGCAGGCTTCCATCTGGGTTCGGTGCATCGGCTAAATTCAAGTTCCTTGTATTGTATTAAAAGTGCCATCCAAATTACAAATAGACCTCAGGCTTTCAGTAACCATTTTGGCTGTTAACGAGTTAGCTTCTATTGCCCAAGAGCGTTCTACATCATCCCGAACTAATGGTCCATATTATCAATGTGTCACGCAGATGTACTGGTTCATCAATGCCATATGTTCCAATTACAGGTACTTAATATTGAGTTGTGCCTCAATATAGCTATGATTATTCTAATACGTCTTCAGAGCTGCTGTAGCATTCAATAATCGGCGTACTAGTTTCTATTGAATATTAATTATTGACTTCGATCTAGTACGAAAATTCAAGCGGTCATTGATATAATAATTACTTTAACAACATATCACAAGGAACTGATCATACAATGTCATGATCATGACTTTATCGAGCGCCCACCATTACCATCAAATTAACAAGATAATTTATTCTCAATATTGGCGCTACAGTTGCAACAAATACTATTCTGTCGTAGTTGTAATGGATCAACTGTTACCTGTTACAAAACATTCATTCGAGTTGATTTTTTTTGCCCAATATGCATCGCTTCAAGGGGGTATAATGTTTCACAATAACCACTATTTCTAGTCATACATACTTGGTTATTCACTCTAAGCTTATATACGTATTTCTTGTTTCAAAAGTGTTTGTTTAAAGCATTCTCGATTGTTTTCTGGAAGCCGAGCTTGGATTCTAGAATACCAATAACTTCCGTTTCAATGTCAATGCAGCGTATCCTGACAGGTATAACATAACATTGATTAGGAATTATAGAACCCTTCTACCTCAAAGCAGATCACTAATTATCGACACGCAAAGTTCAAACCAAACATGAGTAGAACTGTAGTTGAAAAAGCTTTGTTAGGTTTTTTTCCAAGCTCTTTCATTTCACTTACAAGCCCTGTTTTTGATCATTTACACAAATAGACTTACCTGACCTGCGTTTAAATTGGAAACGTTCATAAACTGTATCTGATTACAACAATATCGGGTTGACCGTCCGTGAAAGTCCATTCTGTAGAGACTCGAGAGCTTTAAATGAACAAGTGAATACCAATAGAGCTGAACAAGTGATGACAATGCATTTCAAATTCCAAGATCCATGATCTGTGATACAGATTCCAGATAATAGATTTCACAGAAAAGAACCCTTTAACTTTGAAGTTCCAAGTTTCACTTTTCGAATCATACCAGGGTCAACTTTTACCCTTGTGTGCAGAAAAAGCAGCATTCAGATACTTTGACGAGATCCAGATTCCACACGAAACCGAAGAGACTTGAGATAGAACAGTAAGCCCATGGAGCAGCCGACAGGTGACCCAAATAGGACTCTTGAAGATTGAACCGTTCAATCAATGCCTCGGTCAGTTTAATGAAGGCATGTGGTTCCAATTCGCTGAGAATCAGAGATTCAAAATTTTGGAAAGGACACTACTTTTTTTTTGAATGACAATTTTTTTCACGAATTCTATAATTAATAGTGTTTAGAACTTTGTGCAGAATATTTTATTCGCATCTTCTAAAAAACAAACTGATTTTAGCTGTTGAAATATTTGTTCGAGGTCCTCTTCCGTTTTGTCCAACTTTTAATCCTTTACCTGATTCGATTGCTCATCTTCAACCTTCAATGGTCAACTCCATCTAACTGTCAATTAAACAACCATTACAATAATGTGCAAAATGTAAGTTTCCAACTCAAAAACACTAGAATGCCTAGAACCCTCATACTAATATTATACTGGTTAGACTCATTGCATACCCAGGCTCACAGAATCTTGATGCTGTCATCAGCAAAACCAATGGTTTAAGTAACAAATCTGGTCCTTTTGATATTACGATATATTTAGGTGACGTGCTGCCAGATCATAACAAACCAGGTCCATCATTAGATCTAGATATTGATCACCCAATCTATTTCACAACAGGGGCTAGCTCCAAGGAATCTAGCGAACCACATGACATAAAGCCAAACTTTAGTTATCTTGGTAATTACGGTGTTCGTACCTTTCCAAATGGAATTAAAATGGGCTTTGTTACTGGTGATGAAGCCATCCTTAACAGAGATGGAGACATAATAATAGCCAAACTGAAAGATCATAAAGATATTGATTTCCTAGTGACCTATCAATGGCCAAAGACTTTGGCTCAGGAGGCAAAGGTGTTTTTAGGCAACTCTATTGTTGATGAAATTGTCAGAACAACAAGGCCAAAATATCATCTTGCTGTCGGATCTAGTGCAGGAAAATTTTACGAGAGAGCACCTTTCCAATGGGATGACGGAACAATTACAAGGTTTATTAGTCTTTCCAAATTTGGCTCAAAAGAGAAATGGATATATGCGTTCAACTATAATATCACGCAAGATGGGAAAGTTGCATTACCAAAAAATCTAACATCTAATCCTTTTGAGGTTCCAGAAGCATCAAAAGAAAATATTACCCCTGAACAAGTTCATGAAGAAGAATCAAAGAAACGCAAATCTGAAAATAGCACAACCCAATCGGAGGTACAAGGTGAACCTACTCCAAAAAGGCAAACCATAACAAGGAAAGTTGTCTCACCAGAAAATTGTTTTTTCTGTTTGAGTAATCCAAAACTTGAAAGTCATATGATAATATCCATTGGTGAACATGCTTATTTAACTATTGCTAAAGGTCCATTGACAAGACCAACAGAGAAAATGAAATTTTCAGGACATTGTTTGATTATACCCATTGCTCACGCACCAAAGATTGATTATAATAAAGATGCCGTTCCAAATAATGCTCAATTGTTGAATGAAATAATGAGATACGAGGTGTCTTTGGTAAAATTCTTTGCAAGTTTCAATTTGGGAACTATATTATTCCAAATCAATAGGTCGAACTCTGTGCATTTCCATATTCAAGTATTTCCTATTCCAGTTGATTTTCTCCCCGATTTTGGAAAAATATTGGAAAAAAATGCAAAGTTGAACAATACCAAATTTAGCAAAAATGTTAAGTTAGATTTCAAAAAATATGCAGATGAATGTGATCAAGATTATCAAGACTTGCTTAAATCCAACAAGGATTTTATCTCTTTCACAGTCATCAACAAGTCAATATCAGATAAGACAATCTACATAAGTACGATTGAATCCTTGGAAAAATCTTTGGATCTCCAATTCGGGCGTCGTACATTGGCTTATTTACTTCAATCCCCAAAAAGAATCAAATGGGATAAATGCCAACAGTCCACACAAAAAGAAACCGCAGAAACTGAACTTTTCAAAGAGGCTTTCAAAGAATTTGATTTCACAATGGGGATATGATTATCCAATAAACCTACATGGTGACAATTTAAATACATACATTGTAGAACCGATAATTGTTCTTAACCTAACCTAACAACTCAACCATAAAAAAGAAACACAACTAAAAAGATAGAAAAAATACAAAGGGGGAATAATAATAATAACAAGAGTTGAACTCAGTAAAGGGTTGAGAATGGATCTCTAGAACTATTCTCAAACATATTTCTTATATTGTTTAATTGGCCTTTATGTTTGAAAGTGAACCCAATGAAATTTGGTGGTTTAACATTACTTTGGCTTGCCAATTTTTCAACATGTGCTTGTTTATTGAAGACTTCAGCATATTTTGCCATATCACCCTCATCTTCAAAATCATCAAAATAACCAGCATCAAGATCTGAATCAAGTGAAGGGATAAATGGTGGTGATTTGTTTCTCAAGTTATCAAAATCGACTCCAGAAAAATAATTTGTTCTTTTAACATGTTCAAAAGTCTTCAAACGATTTGGACTGTCGGCAATTAAACGACTTAAGAGGTCCCATGTTCTATCACTAAAGACATATGTACCATCACTATTCTTTGGTCTGACAAAATAAGACTTCCAATTTTTCAAGTTGGCATATGTTTCTTCAGTTGATTCACCACTGAAAGGGGAGAAGCCACATAGACATTCAAATAGAATACAACCCAAAGACCAATAATCAACTGTTTTATCATAAGCATAACCTTTGACAATATCAATAGCCATATAATCTGGACTACCAACAACGGATTTTGAATAGTTAAGATCTGTTTCTCTCAACTGTTGATACATCTTTCTTCTTTCCAGAAGGGTTCTCTCTTTTCTTGGTTTACCAAATACATCACCAATTTTTTCTAATTTCAACTTCATTGAATGAATTCTTTCATCTGCAATGGTACCACAAGCTAATCCAAAATCAGTCAACTTCAAGTGACCTTTTGAATCAATTAAAAAGTTTTCAGGTTTCAAGTCTCTATGGATAAACCCTGTTTTATGTAAGTCATTAAGAGCAGCAAACATTTCAGCTAAATAAAAACGACAATGTGGTGGAGCCAAAGTGTGACAATTACTCAATAATGTTCTGAAATCACCACCTGGAACAAATTCCATACCAAGATATACACTTGATGTATCTTGAAAAGAGTACAAAAGCTTTACCAACCAATCACTTCTTGATGCTGCTAAAATTTCACGTTCTGTTAATAGATGTTCAGTTTCATTCATTCTGACAATCATAGATTTCGAAATAACTTTCAAAGCGCATATTTCTTTTGAGTCTTTTTTTCTGGATAAATAAACTTGACCATAACCACCTTGGCCAATTTGAGTGATGATTTCAAAGTCTTTGTTCTTTGGTTTCAGCCTTCTTTTTCTCAACATTGATGTTTCATTATTCACATAAGCTCTCCACTCCATTTCCGGATTTTGCGATCTATTAATATTGTTTAAAACAGTTCTTGTACGTTCTCTTCTTGTAATGACATAGTCAAAGTAATCACAATAGTAATCTAAAAAGTACATTTGGCACACATTGACCATCCTTTTATGTTTGATGCTTAACGCTTTTGATCCATCTCTGTGTCTTGGTCTCAAAGGACTTGTGTTGAAGCTACTTGGCTGGTTCAACTTAGAAGGTGAAATGTTATCCAATGGACGGTTCTCTTTATTCAAAGGTGAATTTGGTTCAAAGCTAAATTTATCATTATAGTTGTTAGCTGCTCTATTTTGGAATTGCAAAGACTCCATATTTTTAGCCAGGTCATCCACAGCTGGACTTCTATTCATCCTATTGCTGAAGAAATTAGCGACCATCACAGGGGTTAATCAAGTTTCTTGACAATTGGTTGTGTATAGTGTTCAAGTTTGACAGAACGGTGATGTTTTCTTTTGTAAATTTCCTGAAACTTGGTTTTTGTTTACATTTTACCGGATTTGGAGATGTATTCCGGTAGTCACGTTTTGGACCTCGGAAATCACTACAATTTAACCAAAATAGACAATTTACTATGATTTATCTTTTGATTCTCTTAGTTTCTTTTCCATCTTGGATTCTATGATCATTTTTAGTCTCTTCGCCAAAGTTGAGTAGAGATTGGTTAAAAAATTCCGAGTCTTGTGTAGCTTTCTCCAACCTGTTTTTCATATTCTTGGAAACTTTGGCTCTGGTATTTGTATTGATTGGGATATTTGATAAAGAACCAGTCATACCAAGACCAATTTCCTCACCAAACCCATCAGTAACGGTGTTTTCTTGTTTACCAAATTCCATTCTATTTTGTGCTTTTCTCAGTTCTGATAGTTCGAATCTTTGCTTCATCTTTCTATACTTTCTACCAGCTCTTTTCTTTGAAGATTTATCAATTGGAGCTGGCAATGCCTTTGGTGCCTTATTTTCAGGTGGTTCTGCTAGTTTCTCTAATTTTTCCTCTATGTCTCTTCTCCATTTTTGTCCCTGTGAGCCATCTGGAATACTACTTGAGAAATCCACTCTAGCAGCCAAAATGATTTTCCCAGAAACAATCCTCATGGCTTGCTTTCTAAGGTCTGGATAGACAGATTGAATTAAATCACTATAGTATAAATACCCTTGTTGCCTTACTCCGCTATGACCAAGTCCTATTCCAACAGCTCTTTTATTTCCTAAAGAAGCAATATTGCAAGATGGGGTCTGCGCTAAACCTTTCAAGCCGCCCAATACACTCATTAACTGAGCAGCTGTATAGGAACCAACTGTCGCAGATAAATTAGGTGCAAATACACTCAGTCTTGATGCAACATAATCAGAAATTTTGATCCTTGAATCTTCAAGCTTCAATAACAAATCACAAGCACCAACAATTTTCTCTAGCTCATCTTCTTTGATATTTTCACTAGCATCTTTAGCTTGAATTGAAGACATAGTAAGGACCAATGTTTTCTCTTTGGATAGAAATGATAAATTTTCAGCATCGATATTCAAATTATTTTGGAGCACTTTCACAATTTTGGAATATTCAATTGCATTTGGTATTAGTGATTCTAGTTCTGGGAATCTTTTTCTATAGTGCGCCTTGATGAAATCATGGACAAGGCTGATTTCATTTGTAATTTCAACTGAAAGATCATTAACAGTTATCAAAAAGTTGTATTCTTCTTTCTTTGACACTTTTTGAGAAGTGTATTTTTCAATTGTTGCAATAATTGGATCAACTTTGTGACTAAGTTTCGATATTTTAGTCACATCTTTGATGGAGCTCAAGTCAATTCGAGATAGAAGATCCGAAGTTGTTACCTCTTTCCCAGAGTCCACCAGCTCATGAAGTTGTGAAGTGACTTTATCCATGGGTATATCTCCATCTGCATCTTGTTTCCTCTCTTGATTAACTTCATTTTCCGCAACGAGCTCTTCCTTATCAGACTCTTCGAAGTCACTGTCACTTTCTAAATCTCTCAGCAAATCTTCGTCTAATGACATATTTCACTTGAGTAACACTTGATTCAAAATGGTTGTAATAATACTTTTATGTCAAAATGTCATTTTAAAATGTGCAAATTGTGCGAAATTTACCCTCTTGTTTCGCGAATTAGTTTTGGGCGCGAAAACCATCAACAAAATTTTTCAGAAATGGCACTATTTGATGAAAAAGAGTCATATTTAAGTTGTGTATGTCAATTCTGCTCCATTTGAGGACATTAAATAAACTAGTATTACCTGGCACGTTAGGAAGACCGTTTATTGGGAAGAGACTCATTAATTCGACTTCGATTTACAAGATGAGTGAGCCTACAGATAATACTAGCGCACAACCTGCAGCAGCTGGTGAACCAAAAATCAAGACTGAAAAGGAATTGGAAAAAGAACGTAAGAAGGCTGAAAAATTAGCCAAATTCCAAGCTAAGGAAGCCAAAAAATTAGAAGCCAAAAAGAAAGCTGAAGCCAACAAAGATGCTAAACCAAAGAAGGAAAAAAAAGTTGCTGAACCAATTCCTGAGTTTGTTGATAAGACCCTAAAAGGTGAAAAGAAAATCTTGGTTAGTTTGGATGATCCATCATTGAAAGCATATGATCCAAAAAACATTGAAAGTTCGTGGTATGACTGGTGGGTCAAAGAAGGTTTGTTTGAACCTGAATTCACTGAATCTGGTGAGATTAAACCAGAAGGTGCATTTTGTATTCCAGCTCCACCACCAAATGTTACTGGTGCATTACATATTGGACATGCTTTAACTGTTTCTATTCAAGATACTTTGATCAGATACAACAGAATGAAAGGAAAAACTGTCTTATTCTTGCCAGGTTTTGATCATGCTGGTATTGCAACTCAATCTGTTGTTGAAAAACAATTGGCTAAAGAAGGTATCTCAAGACACACTTTAGGCCGTGAGGCTTTTGTTCAAAAAGTTTGGGATTGGAAGGAAGTTTACCATGGTAAAATTAAAAGCCAGTTTCAAAGACTTGGTGCCTCATATGATTGGAATAGAGAAAAGTTCACTTTAGATGAAGATTTATCCAAAGCTGTCTCTGAAACTTTTATTAAATTACACCGTGAAGGGATTATTTACAGAGCTTCTCGTTTAATCAACTGGTCAGTTCGTTTAAACACTGCTATTTCAAATTTGGAAGTTGATAACAAAGAAATCAAAGGTAGAACTTTATTATCTGTTCCAGGTTATGATGAAAAAGTTGAATTCGGTGTTTTGACTTCATTTGCTTATCCAGTTGAAAACTCTGATGAAAAGATTGTTGTTGCAACCACTCGTCCAGAAACTTTGTTTGGTGATACCGGTATTGCTGTTCATCCAGATGATTCAAGATATAAACATTTACACGGTAAATTTGTTATCCATCCATTCTTAGGTACTAGAATTCCAATTGTCACTGATGCCGAAGCTGTTAATATGGAATTTGGTACTGGTGCTGTTAAAATCACTCCAGGTCATGACAACAACGATTATGCTACTGGTAAACGTAATAATTTGGAAATTATCAACATTTTAACTGATGATGGTATTTTGAACGAAAATGCTGGTGATTGGGCCGGTATTAAAAGATTTGATGCCAGAAAGAAAGTCATTGAAGCTTTGAAAGAAAAAGGCTTATTTGTTGAACAAAAAGAAAATGAAATGGTTATTCCAATTTGTTCAAGATCTGGTGATGTTATTGAACCATTACTAAAGCCTCAATGGTGGGTTTCACAAAAAGATATGGCTGACGCTGCCATTGCTGCCGTGCGTAACGGTGATATCACAATTACTCCAAAATCTTCTGAAGCTGAATACTTCCATTGGTTAGAAAATATTCAAGATTGGTGTATCTCTCGTCAATTGTGGTGGGGTCATAGATGTCCTGTCTACTTTGTTGAAATTGAAGGTGAAACTAATGATGAAAATGATGGTCATTACTGGGTCTCCGGTCGTGACATTAAAGAAGCTGAAGAACAAGCTGCTGAAAGGTTCCCAGGTAAAACTTATACTTTAAGACAAGATGAAGATGTTTTAGATACTTGGTTCTCATCAGGTTTATGGCCATTCTCCACTTTGGGCTGGCCAGAAAAGACACAAGATTTAGCTAAATTTTATCCTTGGTCTATGTTGGAAACTGGTTGGGATATTTTGTTCTTCTGGGTTTCAAGAATGATTTTGTTAGGTCTTAAAATGACTGGTGAAATTCCATTCAAAGAAGTTTTCTGTCATTCTTTAGTCCGTGATGCTCAAGGTCGTAAGATGTCAAAATCTTTAGGTAATGTTATTGATCCATTAGATGTTGTTACTGGTATCAGTTTAGAAGATTTGCACAGTAAATTGTTAGGTGGTAACTTGGCTGCTAAAGAAATTGAAAAAGCTAAAGCTGGTCAAAAAGAATCTTATCCAAATGGTATCCCACAATGTGGTACTGATGCTTTAAGATTTGCATTATGTGCTTACACAACTGGTGGTCGTGATATCAACTTGGATATTTTACGTGTTGAAGGTTATAGAAAATTCTGTAACAAAATTTACCAAGCTACTAAATTCGCTTTGATGCGTTTAGGTGATGATTATCAACCACCTGCCACTGAGGGTGCATCAGGTAATGAATCTTTAGTTGAAAAATGGATCTTACACAAATATAACGAAACTTCAAGAATTGTCAATGAATCTTTTGAAAAACGTGATTTCTTAACATCAACTTCTGTTATTTATGAATACTGGTATCAAGTTTGTGATGTTTACATTGAAAACTCCAAGTCCTTGATTTTAGAAGGTACTGATGCTGAACGTAAATCTGCTAGAGATACTTTATACACAACTATTGATGGTGCTTTAAGATTGATTCATCCATTCATGCCTTTTATCTCTGAAGAAATGTGGCAACGTTTACCACGTCGTGCTTCAGACAAGTCAATCTCTATTGTCAAAGCTCCATACCCAGTTTATAACAAACAATTTGACAACTCTAAGGCTGCTGCTGATTATGAAGTTGTTTTAGATATCACTAAAGAAGCACGTTCATTATTGTCTCAATACAACATTTTAAAGAATGGTAAAGTTTTTGTTGAGGTTGAAAATGTTGCTCTTTATGAAACTGCTGTTTCTCAAAAAGATTCTATTGTTTCTTTGATTAAAGCTATTGATGCTGTTGAAGTTGTTAAATCAGTTGAAGACATTCCACAAGGTGTTGTCTTACAAGCTGTCTCTCCTGAAATTAATGTTCATTTATTAGTTAAAGGTCATGTTGATATTGATGCTGAAATTGCTAAAGCTCAAAAGAAATTGGACAAGATCCAAAAGAGCAAAGAATCTATTGAAAAGATTGTGAATACTAAAGATTATGCTGTCAAAGCCAATAAAGAAGCTCAAGAGCAAAATCAAATCAAATTAGATAATGCTAGTGCCGAAATTGAAGGTTTTGAACAAACCATTGCAAACTTAGAACGTCTAAAATTATAAATAGATCAGTGAACCTTTTGGAACCTTATATACAACTACAAATAAATAACTTGGATTAATGACTTTGATAACATTGTATTAGACATACTATATCTGCCAAACAAAATCTTTTTCAATCTTGGATTGGATTGTTTTTCTAAATGTTTGATGTATTTTTTCAATTTGTTGACTGGCTAATGCTAAAATTTTGTACAATTCATCTTCTGAAAAAGTCCCAATACTATCACTATATAGTAAATTGCTTGATTTACCATTTTTAATGGCATAAACAACAACATGTGAACTTTTAGAAGTTTTCAACTGGGCTTTTGAGGGACTAATGATTATTTCACCATTTTCTAAAATTGCAAAATGTTCACTAGCAAATGAAACATTCAATCCTATGTTTGCATCAATTAATGCTAAATATGCAGAATTCACAAGAGCTGATAATTCTTTTGAAGTATATTCAACATCTTCACCGGCTTCTAATATTTGTGTCGTTATTTGGATAAGTTGTCTTGGATATAAATGTCCTATGATGACCTGTGTCAATATTGATCTTAGCTTATCCTCCAATAGTTTTTCTCTTGTATTTGAAATACCAACACCTGCTCTCACAATCACTTCTAATGCTGCTGTTGTTGGTAATTCTTGTCTAGGTTTTGGTTCTATAGGACCCGAGATGGATGTTATCACTCTGGTTTCACCAGCAGAGACAGTAGCAGATCCATCTACTCTGCTAAGGATTGTAGTTTCAGCTTCAATGCTCATCTTTAATACAGTAAAATGTACTATATCGATATTACAGAAGCTCTCTATAATAGAAATTTGATGCCTACAATTTTTTTTTTTGCCTATACAGAGGTCCGACTTTCAAGTCCTCGGAACTCAACGGAATCTTGTCTTGCGCTTGACGTGGAGTTGGAAAGATTTGATCGAAGATTGATTTCTCTGATCAAGATTGTATTGATAAAATGATACCAGTGAAATAATATGACTGGAAAGGAACATGATGATCACTTAAGACAGGGTATCAAGGTTTCACCAGTGACTTCAGCGCTAGCTGGCTCAATTTCTGGGTTGGTTGCAAGGTGAGTACGCTGGTCAAAAACACATTGAAAGCTTATTAACAAATTTATAGAATGTTTACAGCACCATTGGATGTTGTTAAGATACGGCTTCAATTGCAAGTTAGTGGCGATAAATACGATGGGATACTACAGACCATGAAACTTATAGCAAAAGAGGAGGGTGTTTTGGCGTTGTGGAAGGGAAATGTCCCAGCAGCTGTGATGTATGTTTTATATGGTGCTGCTCAGTTTTCAAGTTATACGGTCTATAATAATTGGCTTACTGATTTTGAACAGCAGTATAAGTTGAGGATAGGTCCTGCTAGTCATTCTTTTATATTGGGTTCTGCTGCTGGTTGTACCAGTACTTTGATTTCATATCCATTTGATCTATTAAGAACAAGATTTGCCAGTGAGCCAACATTTAGTAAATTAAGCTCAACTTTGAGAAGCATACATCATCATGAAGGGCCATCAGCATTTTTCAAGGGTGTCAATACAGCCATGTTATCAATTTCCTTATATACTGGATTAATGTTTTGGTCTTATGAAGTTTCTCGTTCGATTTCATCAAAAATTAACATTTACCAACCAGTTGTGGAGCCTGTCTGTGGATTTGCAGCTGGTGTTTTTGCTAAAAGTATTGTGTTCCCACTAGATCTTATTAGAAGAAGGTTACAAGTGAACAGATCAAGAAATAAAAATTTCATAATCACAGCATTAAACGTTGTTAAAGTTGAAGGGTTGAGAGGATTATATAAAGGTTTTTTTGTCTCCATAATAAAGAATGCTCCAACTACGGCTATTTCTATATGGACTTATGAGCATGTGTTGAGGTTGTATAAGGAGGAGGTTATTTCATGATTGATTATTGAATGATTTTCATCACCATCTGGAACACCAGTTCAATTGTCGTATCATTTTTTGAAAAATGTACCAAACAGAGAATTCTCTCTTTGCCTCTAGATTTCTTACGCCCAAGAGCTGAACTATATTTCGAATTATCTAGAGTATCTGCAATATTCATTTACTAAATTGGGGCGAACTCATTGAGCCTTGGTACTTCATCATTTCTTTTTGTATCTATGATACTCCAATCATACCATCTCCAATCCTCATCCTTCATTATTCTGTTCACTTTAGGTAAAAAGAATGCTTTTTACCTTCAAGTCTTGGATCTTTGTTCTGATAGTTTTCGGAAAGTTGGTTAGTTTTTTTCATCAACACGAAACTCTTGAGATCTATTGTGTCAACCGAATCGGGAAAATACCATATTAAATCAAGAAATCTAAACCAAGTTGAATGTTCAAAACGCTTCAAGTTATTCAAAGTTTAGATCTTGCCTCAAATAAGAAATGTGTATATAAAGAGATGTTGATCTGTATTGTTTCGAATATGTTTTATTATTGATTCATCATCAATCAATCAACTACATTCGCTGATCTTATAACAATGCAACCATCAACTATTACTTCATCTGCTGCTCCACAAGAAAACACTGACAACCAAGACAAATTCGTCTGGGGTGGTACTGGTCCAGGTGCTATCTGGTTCACTTGTACCATTGCTTAAGCTGCTGGTTATATCCGTGATTAAGATAAAAGATATTGGCTTTTAATCAAATCTATTTAAATTTCGTTCTATGTTAATGCTGGTGAAAATATTCTTTTGCTGGTTCTGATTTCTGGTTCTTTTAACTATAGCAATATGTTTTCCTTAATTATTAAATGTATGCTTTAACAATATTAACAACTAGAATTGTAGTAACTCAGTCTTGTACAGCATGCTTAAAATTGGTCCAAAGTTACATAATGAACTAATTAATTCATTGAGCTGTGCCCATAATGCCTGCCACATTTGACTATACCTCATGATATACACCAATTATTGTAACTAGCTGTAGGGTTAATACTCACAATCGCTTGTTAGAAATAGGATTATTGTGCACTGAAGTCTTGAGAAATGTAGTTGGTGAGTAATGATATCTGCTAAATCGTACACTCATTAATTGAAGTCATGAATCAACAGCAACTTCAACAACGATATTATCGAACCAATGGTAACTAAAGGGAAAGCCGAAGTGGCTTCTTTGAAACCACGTAAAAGTGTAATGGATTCCAACTTTCTATAAACCCACAGTTTTCGCGTCAACGTCCTCAAGCTTTCTTGTATCTGCCAATTTCCAATTAAGGGCCGGCTTTCCATTTTAAGTGATATAACCGAACCTCGCAGATAGCTCAATCATCAAATTGTGGAGTTTATCAAGACCTTTTGGACTATATAAACTACACAACTCCCTAAACCTTTCACACCACCTTTCCATTAATCAATTCCTTCTGTACTGAATATTGAGACAATATGGCATCGCTACATCCTGGTGAACAGGCCAAGGAACAGCTAATGACAGAGTTCCAACCTGTTACTACCCCTGTTAAAAAGAGGAAGCTAAACATCTACAAAAAGATCTTAGCATCAATTGTACTCGGTGGTTTGTTTATTTATCAAGCTTCAAACCATATCAAATCATGCTCTCAAACTGATAACACCATCTACGATGAAACTACACCAGTTGTTGCTGTTCGTCCACCAAATTACAATTCTGATTTCAATAGTGCTTTTAAAAACTACTTCGATGAAGAGTTTAGAAACAAATCAATTGCAAAGTTAGCAGGTGCTGTTAGAATCGAAACTGAATCATATGACAATGGTCAAAGTCCAGTGGATGATATAACCAATTGGATCAAATTCTATAAGCTTCATGATTATCTCAAGGATACTTTCCCATTGGTATATGAGACTTTAAAGGTTGAAACTGTTGATAAGATTAGTCTGCTGTATACTTGGGAGGGGTCAGACCCAGATTTGAAGCCATTGTTATTAACTGCTCATCAAGATGTTGTTCCTGTTGAACCAAAGACAAAGAACTTATGGACTCATGATCCATATGGTGGGGTTTTCGATGGTGAATACCTTTGGGGACGTGGATCTTCAGATTGTAAAAATTTGTTGATTGGTACTTTGGAAGCAGTTGAACAATTAATTAAAGATGGATTTAAACCAACAAGATCAATCATTTTGGGATTTGGTAATGATGAAGAGAGTACTGGATTTGGTGCTAGTGCATTAAATAGAACGATCACAGAAAGATATGGTTCTGACTCGATATTTGCTATTGTTGATGAGGGTACCGGTGTAATAAATTATGATGACCAATATATTGCCATCCCATCAACTGCTGAAAAAGGACATTTGAATGTGTTTATCGAACTAACAACTCCGGGAGGCCATTCATCTGTTCCACCTGATCATACTTCGATCGGTATCATTTCAAGATTGGTTGCACTACTGGAAGACCACCCATTTGACCCAATTTTGAGTGCAAAGAATCCACTATCTCAATTTTTGAAAACTGTAACTAAAGATTCCAAAAATGTACCTGATTCTTTGAAAAAAGACATTCAAAACTTGGATAAAGACAAAAGTGCAAATGAAAGGGTTATTGAATACTTGTCTAAAGAACCATCTACAAATTATGCAATTCGTACGAGTCAGGCCATTGACATTATTCATGGTGGTGTAAAGTCAAATGCTTTGCCCGAATATGTTACACTGTTGATAAATCACCGTATCTCTGCTGACTCAAATTCCAAAGAAACGGTTGACCATTTCCTAACTCATTTGAAAAAAATTAGCAAGCAATTTGATTTAGGTATCATTTTGGATGGCGAATTTATTATTCCCTCTACAAAGAATGGTGTCTTCAATGTTTCTGCACAAGATCCTTTAGAACCATCTCCCATCAGCCCTATAGACGGAGAAATCTGGGATGTATTTGCAGGTACTATTAAACATGTGTTTGATGACATTGTTTTGAAGGATACTAATGAAACTTTAAAGATTGCTCCATATTTAATGGTTGGTAACACGGATACTAGACGCTATTGGGGCCTGACAAGAAATATATACAGATTTCAAGCTCAATTGGCAAAAAGTGAAGACTTGACATCAGGAATCCACAGTGTGAATGAGCATATTTCTGTTGATCAACACTTACAAGTTTTAACCTTTTTGTACGAATTTATCTTGAATGTTGACAAGGTGAAAGATAACTAGGTATTTCATTAATTAGTATACGTCAATAAATACGTTCTTTGTTTGATCACAACTTCAACACGTATAGAATTTATCAACCATTTCAATCGCAGCCTCTGCCCACATTTCGCCAATAGTATTACTACTGCAAGCTGCTGCAGAGCTTGGCATATTCTCTTCTTGATCAAACCTATCAATAATTCCTGTGACAATCGGGATGTTGATAAGATATGGTAATCTTTGCAAGGCGTCAATAACCGATTCACCCTGTGAACTTTGAACACTATGTATAATATTATTTTTAACCACTCCAATGACAATGATAACTTGTAGAAAAATTGCTCGTGATCTTAGTATTTCAATAAACCGTTTGGTAGCTAACGGAAGCTGAGATAGACAGCAGATTGATTCCACATATATATTTTCTTCCTTGACATCTAGAGCTTTCAACTTGTGAACCGCACCAAAGACGAGCTTCTCACTGTCATCACAAAAATCACGGGAGTACATAATCCCTACTTTCAGCTCCAGAACCCCTTCTTGTTTGCTGGTTGATAATGTTTTCATGTTAGTCGAGAATCTGAGCTGTAAATATAATTAATTGAGAAATCACTTGAAACTAGTGCAACTTTGTAAGTTCTGCAAAACTTTATAGCCACTCGGGTACAGTAACCATTAGGAGAAGTTGGATATGTTATTCAATTTATAGAAGTTTGAGCGCAAGGTGGGCTTAACCTGGTATTTTTGACAATGGTACCTTCAACACAAGATCAGGCTATGATCGCTTATGATCCCTTTGAAATGCATACTTTATAAGAGCACTATGAATGGAGAGTAGTCATTGGCAATAGTCAAAACAAGATATAACAGTGGCCAATGATTCTAGGAACAGCATTGTTCTCCAAATAACCAATATGAAAACTTAATAAATTCTCTTTGAAAATAAAGAGATTATATAGGAGTGCCCATGCCAGATGAGTGCCCGTACCAGATTTACACGGACTGTAACCACAACAACCAAAACCGGACATATTCGCTTCTATGGCCAAGTTGGTAAGGCGCTACACTAGTAATGTAGCGATCCTCAGTTCGACTCTGAGTGGAAGCAATCATTTTTTTTCGATTTTTTTGTGCGCGTTTTGCCTTTATTTTTATACCACAGAGTGTAGTAAAGTCTTGTAATCATTCTGGTGAATGTCCGGAGCTTTTTAATGCATTTTTGATGTTGCAATTTACTTTTGTTCTCATACCTAAAAAGCGGTTGTCTAGGTGATGTTGAAGCCGGGTAAAATTCGCTAATTTTTTCCAACCCAAGGTGTATAAATTTTTTTTTCAAAGCTCTTCTTCTAGTTAACTCTTTAATATTTTTTTTTCTTCATATATCCTTCCAAGTTTTATACTATATGATGAAGTCTCGCGTTTTCTTCTAACAATTCCCCAAGGTTGAGTGACTGGCAACGGTTATTCCTTTGAATGGTGTGGTTTAAATCATATCTGGGTTTTAATGGAGATGGTGTTCGGCGCAAAATTATCTTGTTACAATTTAATTATTAGGACGCCTAAATGAGAAATTCTGACCCCTTTTCAAGTGTTATTGTAGCTTGGAAAGATTAAGATTTGGAAGGATAGAACATGTGTACCTTTTGAATACAGATTTGGTAGTATCAAATAATGTAAGATTTCGCATCGGCTGCTCTGTATGAAATTTGTTTGGATTAAAACAAGAAGCTCGCTACTATCAAAGATCTGTATTTCTCACGAGATTACATGGTGACTTACATTATCATTAGTTTATTATTAATTGATGTAAACATTGTCATTTCTATGGTACATTAAATATTCATTGATAATCTTTCCTCGATCCGCTTGATCTATAAAACCTTCACTCTTTCTTCTCTTGTAAGTCCTCAACATCCAATTGGGCTAACATCACGGATGCTCTTTTTAATTGTATGATGTTTGTTAATTGTTTAAAGAGATAAAATGGGAAACAAATAGCAGCCAAAACACCAGCAGCTGAATATGGAACACCTGAAATTGTGATGTTGTATAATGGGAAGTAATATAAGTATAAGGCAATGTAAAATAATTCATTGAATGCACAAATAGAAAACAAAACTTTTCTATTGGTATAGTACAAGTTCAACAAAAAACTTGATTCTTTATCAATATTTTTATGTGATTTCCCACCAGTTTGCAAAGTAGCATACATATGCATATAATGAGATGCCAAATCTAAGGAAACCAATAATTGAAAGATCAAAGCATAATCTGGATACAAGACACAAAGGAAACATATCAATGAAGAAGTTGTACATCTGTCCGTAACCATATCCAAGACAGCACCGAACCGACTGGTTTGGTTATAATATCTTGCAGCGTGACCATCAAGAGCATCTAGCAGACATGAAAATGCGTATATGGAGGTACAATATATTGGATGTGACTTCATCAATTGGAAAGATATGACAGCTGTTATAACTCTCAAATACCCAATGTAGTTCGGAATGTAATGGAAGATGATAGCCGTGGATGACTGACTGTTGGAACTCATGCTGGCGTGCTGAACTGATCTCTATGCTTATCCGTTGTATGTACCGTGCTTCAAGCTTTATCTTCAAGAGCTTAGGAGCAACTGATCAGTATGAGTTCGAAATAGAAAATGTATGTCTGATTCAAATTCAAAAACAGCGCTATTTTTTTTTCCATCTGCAATCAGCCGGCTCACGCCAAAAAAAGAGGTTTCGCGAAAAATCAAGCATTACCCTATTCCTATTCCGTACCTGAATTATAATATCATAATTATAATAAGAGTGCTAGCAATTTGATTGATTGAATGAATACTTGTTAGAGCAAAAAGCTCCAAAGGCGTTCACAAGTGTTCCTAAGTTTCTGTTGGTTATATCATGTTTTGGCATTATTGGGCCGGGTTGATATGAGACTGTCATTTTTATGCGCCAACATCCCGTGTCAGTAACGACATATAAATTTTTTCTTCAGTAAAGATCAGATTTGTAGAAAAGAATCATAAGCTCAAAATTCTCTTGTCCAGTGTATCATGGCTTCTGTCTCTGCTGAAATTCCGTTACAGGTAGTCTTGTCCCTATTGGATGCTCCTCAACCAGCAACCTTGTCCTATGTTTTGAAATCATTATACCTTTCCAAATATACAATCACTAAGGCATCAAAAGCAGATATCAATCATTTGATTGCCAAAATCAACAATTTATTGAACTCCAAGGATAACTTCAAAAAATGGTATGGCTCTCATGTTGTTCAAGTTATTGGCTTGAACCCTGTCATTTTAACAAATGGTGGCTCTACCTTCATTGTTGGTTTGTTGAAAACAATTAATGATACTAGTGTTCCAGCTGTTACTTTCAAAAACGCTGCTTTGGCCTTAGATCAATTGATCAGTGGTATTAGAGGAAAACCAGTACTAACCAGAGAGCTTCTAACTCCAAATTTACCGAATATCATCTCATCATTATTGGATAATTTGAACAGAGATATCTATGTTGTTTTACCAATTTTGAAAAACTTATTGTTGAAGAACACAACAACATTTAAACCTTTTGTTAAAAAATTTGAAACAAAGTTGGTTGACCTGTTATTGAAAAATTTCAATAGCTTCAACAAACAATTGAAAAAAGACATTTGTCAATCATATGCCTACTTAAATTTAGTCAAACCAACTCAAAACACCAATCAAGGTGGTCAAAATGTTCAAGCATTACCAGATGATCAATGGAGAGCTAAGATTTTCAAGCTCTTGGGTGAGTTGAAATCAGTTATTGTCATTTACGACGACCTTGTTGAATTGAAAAATGAGAAAGATTCTGCTGAATTGTTAAATCAATTGCCAAATTCTGATGCCAAAGATTTCATTTTCCCATTTTTGAAAGTTGATCTTAGTGAACCAATTTCAATAATTCAAATTTCTCAAAGAATTGAAGTTTTGACTCAATTAATTATTGCATTCTTAACTTCACCAACTCCTTTCCCATTAAGAATCCCACTCGGTTTAATTATTCAAAGCTCTGAACTACTATTGGGTATCTCACCAAATTACATCCCATTGAAAAAAGAGTTGGGCAGAAATGAAGACTTGAAAAAAATCATTGTTAATGACATTTCCAAAACTCAAGCTCATGGTGCTTTTATTTTGTATCATATCACTAAGCACTACAAAAAATTAGTTTTACCACATTTATCTTCAGTTTTATCAAGTTTGGAAGTTGCTATTCCTATTAAGAATGATAAGGGTTCAAAAGTCATCAAAATTAATGATGATTCATGTTTAGCTATCGAATCAGAATTGATAACCATAATTAAAACTACTTTAGAAATTTTGAAATTATTCCAAGGATTGACTGATCTTGATTTGATCAATAAGTTAATTGATGTTTCAATCTTGTTTTTACAAAAGAGAACTCCATTAGATGGATTACTTGATAAGCAGGAAGTAAAGAAATCTCAACAACAGCAACAAGGTCAAAAGAACAAGAAGAAGGGGAAAAGCAAAGATTCAACACCATTAGCTGATATACTATCACATGCTGAATTATTTGAAGTTGAACCTCCTAAAGAAACCATTTCCATAATACTATCATTTTTCGAAGTTGTTATCAAGAGAATTCCAACCTTGTCTCCAAACTATAGAATCAAAATTGTTAAATATGTCATTTCTACTGCTGTCAAGGAAAGCTCTACCAAATCTCATGTCTTGGATAGAACTAAAAAGTTATTGGAAGCTGTTGTTTTGTATCCAAGTAATGGTGAAATCTATTCCATTTTACCAATTGCAAAAAGACTATTATCAAATAATGAAGTTTTGAGCTTGTTGACTAATCCAAGATTCCCGCCTCTAGAAACCAAATTTAAACCTCAACTTCAAAACAGTGCTATTGAAGACGATGTTGAGGATGAAGAGGAAGAAACTCAAGAACTATCAAATGTACCAGAAGTTGAAGAAAAACCAATTGAAATTGGGGAAGTTGTTGAACAAAACATTAAAGCTCGTGAAGTTCCAATCCCGGAACAACCGTCAATAGTCTTCAAGACTGATGAAGAAGTGAAAGAGCAAAATGTTTTAACTTTTGCAGATGACAAGCAACCAACTGAAATTGAGGATGAAAGCTCATCAAACAAGACAAGGTCATTAGAAGATGATGAAGATACACCTTCAAAACGCATCAAAATTGTAAGTGAAGGTACCAAGACCGTTCAAATCCCAGCCGATAAAATAGGTCAAGAGGAAGATAGTGACTCTGATTTTGAAATCCCAAACATTGAAGTCGATAGTGATGAGGAAGATGAATAGAAGTTGTACTCATTTTTGTTTTAATTGTAGTTGAACCTTTTCTTATGGCAGATCATACCCAAAGCCCGTGAAAATCGTAATCTAGGTATAAATTCACCCGAAGAACAATAAAGAATCTATGCTTTCTATGTTTCAACAAATACAAATGTGCTAAAGAAAGAATATCACGCATCTTAAATGAACTGGTAAACAATGAACCTAACAGATTTGCCTTCAGAGATTCTCTGTGATATATTCAAACAGTTTGATTCATTATACACCTTCAAAGCACTTTCACAAACTTGCTCCATATTCAAACACATTTTAAGTGAACTACTTCTCGTTATCTGTGACGACGAAAACGACCTTTCCATTCAAAAACCAAGCCATTTGGAGAACCTGATCCACATAAACATTTCCAAGATTTCAATCCATAGTCTTGCTGCTTTGATGAGGAAATTTCATTATTTCATATTCAATTTTTCATGTACAAATACTTCGAGCCTACTGAATCAAATAAAGATATTGAAGATCGTGCTAAGGAACCTGCAACTATCCAAGTTATATCATACTGTTTATATCAACTCTAAGAATTTCAACATGAATCCGTTAATAAGGTTCTTATTACCGAAGCTTAATTCACCATTTACAGAGTTTTATTTTCCATTTGTGAGGAAAATTGAAGGATTTGAAGATTTAAGATTGCTGGATAATACAAACTGTTACTTCAGTCAACTTGAAGTGCTAACAATTGGAAGTTTGTCGTTTCAACTGTTCAATCTGAAAGCACCCAAGTTGAAAGTTTTCAATCATAGTAAAGTGATTTTGGATAGAACTGCATTTAATGAAAATGTAAGTACAGCTAGGATTTCATATTCGAAATTCTTGGATAATTTGATGTGTTCTAATTTGGAATGTTTAGAAGTCATAGGCGCTGTGGCTCATTCCACACTATACAAGTTCAATTCGGTCAAGATTTTAAGGATCTATGCTGATAACTCATCTGAAAGTTTTAACCTTGAAGAGTATAAGAGTCTTGAAGAGCTCGTGATTTCAAAATGCTCTAAATTACGAAGTATTGAAGGATTGCATTGCAACAGTCAAACTCTAAGATTATTGGATCTGTCTAATAACAAGAAATTTGACCAAGACATCTCAGGATTCTTCACTAATATGGAAGTGGTTAATCTTTCCAACACTTATATCCAAAAATACCCAAACCTGGAGACTAGTGACAACCATTTAATAGTTGTCAATGTTGAAGGTTGTAAAAACTTGAATATCAAGACAGCATGAATAGCTTTGCGCTTCACCTTTCAGCCAAAAAAATAACTGTAGGCATTCTTTCTGATTCGACTTTCAAATAACAGGCAATCAACCTTTACCAATACCGAACTAATTTCAAAAGTATCTAAATCTTGATGTTGGAACTTTAATTTCAAATTCTTTTTTCACGTCATGATGTCGGAACAATAAAATCATGAAAAACGTCAAATCAGATCAACACTTCCTCTAAACCAAAAAGCCATACAGAACAACGCAAACATGGGTAAAACTACAGAGGAAGGCCATCTCTTTGTGCTAGTCCATGGGTGAGTCTTATAGGCAAATGCATCCATTGCCATTGTACCCTTATAGCACGTTCACTAACACAGATCAAGACTATGGGGAGGCGCTTCGCATCTTAGAGCCATTGAAGAGACAATACACTCAACAGTGAGTGACTCCACTGAAAAGATTTGTACAATCAGACCAAAAAGCTCTGCGTTATTCAAGACTTATGACGGGATTGAGATTGTTGGACAACGGATGTTGATTGAAGTGTTGCAAGAAGTTCAACATTTGTTACACGTTGACGGAATTGCTATAACAAAGATCAGTTTTGTTGGTTACTCTCTAGGTGGATTGATATCCAGGTATATTATTGGTGAACTAGAAAAACTAAAGTTCTTTGAAACAGTGGAACCACAATACTTTACAACATTTGCTTCACCACATTTAGGTGTTTGCTTTTTCAAGCCACGTTATAGAATTCTAAACATATTGGGTACTAGCTTATTGGGACTTGTTGGAAGAGAGTTATTTATAAGCGATCAAGGCAAGATATTGGTTCAATTGAGTGAGGGTGATTATATTAAAGGGTTAGAGCGTTTCAAGAAGCGGTTCTTATTTGCCAACATCCGCCATGATAGATCTGTGAATTTTTATACCGCTTATATTACAAACAAAAACCCATTTGAGCAGCATTGGGATCAACTAGACTTGAAGTTTGATTTTGATGAAGATTTACTATCTACGTATACCGTGAGAGGAATTGACATCAAACCAAGAATTGTCAACCTTCAAAAATCAACATTTAGAGATGAAAACTATCAGCCTGAAAAACCAACCATTGGTCGAAGATTAGAATATGCAGGTGTGTTGTTGTTAGTTTGTTGTGTTTTGCCTTTTTGGATTCCGATTGTTTTCACTGCAAGTACAATAGGGTCAATTACAAGTTATTTTATAGTGAAAACTTATAAAGGACCAGATATTGATGCACTCAGGGATTTGGCAAATTCAAAAAACATTAATAAATCTGAAGGATCTGAAATCTCTGATAATGAAGAAGAGGATAATGAACCATTCCAAGAGCGCATGGAAGACGCAACTGGTGAAGCTCTTGAAAATGTAATGAATATTGGTGAGTACAGACCATCTACAGGAGGCTCAACAAAAGATAAACTATTGGATAAATCAAAGCAATTTATAAAAGATGCGCCAAAAGTGTTGATTCTCAAAACTAAAGTTGAAACCCTTTTTCAAAACATCAAAAAGTTTGTGAATCCTGATGTGGAGCAGTATGAAATTTTCCAAAAGACTGAGGCTCTACCATTAGATAAAGATAGGGAATACATTCTTCAGAATTTGAACAATTTAAACTGGATCAAGTTTGCAGTTTATGTTAATGTCTTGAATGCTCATGATGGGATTATTGCTAGAAAAGGGTTAAAAAAAAGTACGGTAAAAGGTGTGGCTACAGTTTATTTCTGGGGTGAATTAATTAATAGAGAGATCAAAGGGGAACAAATTAAGTGATTTTATGGATGGTTATATTATAAGTGTTGGTGTATTTAACGGGTACAGCGGTATTATCTCCGAATTAGGAAGTCTACCCATTTGGGTTGTAAATAGGAGTGGCCGTAATAGATAAGCCTAGATAAAGCAAGAGTTTTTTTTTTAAATTATTTTGTTCTGACATAAAGTTCTTTGAAAACGGTTTTATTATCTGAGGTTTCGCCCTTATTTATTCACTATAATGATGAGTGGTGCTAAAAGACCCTTTCTGAACGAACATTCTTTGCCCAGTGGTGAAGATCAAGATGATGATTCATTTGACCTCAACAGAGATGCTGATCAACTTGGGGGATCATTTAGTGGATCCTCATCTCATTCAAATCTTAGCTTTTTATTGTCTTCTCCAAAAAAGATTCAAACAAGTATTTCAAGCTTTTATCATGACAAACTGATACCCAATATTGGGTTGGCATTTATTGTTTTATCACAGTTCTTCAATTCAATTATGGTTGTAAGTACCAAGTTATTAGAAACTGATCCAGAATTTGAAGAACCAATTCACCCTTTCCAAATCTTGTTTGTTAGAATGATAATTACATTCGGGGGATGCTTTGCATACTTGAAATATATTAGAAAAGAACCAGAGATCTTTGGACCAAAAGAGATCAGATGGTTACTAGTGCTGAGAGGAGTTGTGGGGTTTGTTGGTGTTTTTTCCATGTATTATTCATTGATGTATTTGTCAGTATCAGATGCAGTTGTTATAACTTTCTTAGTACCATCTGTTACAGGATTTCTAGCGTGGGCCATTTTAAGAGAAAGATGGACCTTAGTTGAAGCAATTGGTGGTCTTGTTTCATTATTAGGGGTGCTGTTAATCGCCAGACCAAGTTTTATATTTGGCACTTCATCATCATCTAGAGATCATAGTGTGGAATCATCTAACCCAGAAGAGAGATTATTAGCAACATCTGTTGCACTGTGTGGTGTTTTGGGTGCCAGTGGTGTTTACATAGTGATTAGATTCATTGGTAAAAGAGTTCATTCATTAGTTACAGTGCAGTACTTTGCTGCATTATGTGTTGTGATCAGCTTGGCTGGTATCATTGTTGTTCCTGGATTATCATTCAAGATTCCACATACTTCAAGACAATGGACCCTTTTTTTCGCATTGGGTATTAGTGGATTCTTTATGCAATTTTTATTAACTGAAGGGATACAAAGAGAAAAAGCCAGTAGGGCTTCAGCAATGCTCTACACTCAAATGCTTTATGCAATTATTTGGGAAGTCATAATCTGGCATCATTTACCAAATATTTGGAGTTGGTTGGGCATTTTCATAATCTTGGGCTCAGCATTTACTGTCATTTACTATAAACCAAAAGAGATCAAAGTTAATGATGCTGAAAACAACTACACTGCTCTTCAACGTGGTTCGTTTGATAATATTGGATCATCTGGAGATGGAGAATCACTGAGAAGAACGACCTCTAGTCGTAGTGGGATCACATTGGACGACCTTAGTGGAGATGAAGAATAGAATTTAGATAGATTTCATCAATTGTACAACAAATTTAAACAGGTTTCTTTTTATAATTTTCCATTAGTAGGGGTTGTGGCGCAAAATTCCGGAAGTAGTTATAGGTAGCGAATATGACTCAAAAAAACAAACGTTAAACTATCAATTGCGAGATATTTCCTAGTTAACCACAACTTTGCTGAAGGAATCTCCATTTACTCTACAAACCACATGAAAACACTCTCCATATTTAAAACTTGTCCAACTGAAATTTCCTGGTTCAAGACGTAGTTATGTCAAAGGTCAAGGAGTTCTACAAAAATCACATCCAAAGAGATATTGGTCTCTACTCGGTTATAGGGTCAGAGTTTTGTAACTCATGGATGCTTGTTTCTTGTAAATTACTAGAAACAAGTGATCCTGATTCACCTATACATCCTTTCCAGATTTTGTTTGTCAGAATGGTTATAACGTATGCTGCCTGTATACTATATGTTCTACTCAGAAATGTGGAAAATGCTCCTTTTGGTCCTAAAGAGGTAAGATGGGCGCTGGTATTGAGAGGATTCTTTGGATTCTTTGGAGTCATTGGTCTATACTATCCCTTAATGTATCTTTCAGTTTCAGATGTGATAGTTATTCAGTTTTTAGCACCAACAGCCACAGCATTAATAGCTTATTTGTTCTTGAGGGAATACTTTACAAAGTTGGAAGCTTTAAGTGGGTTGATCTCCTTAGGTGGTGTTTTACTAATTGCTAAACCAACTTTCCTGTTTGGAGATTCTGCAAATTCATATATTGATGATAAAGTTGAAAGCAGCGATCCAACCCAACGTCTTATTGCAATACTTGTTTCCCTAGTTGGTGTTGTGAGTGGTGCTTCTTCTTTGGTTACAATTAGACATATTGGTGATAGGGCAAACACAGTGATTATGATTTCATATTTTGCACTAATAACCGCAATATTATCATTTTTTACAATCATCTTAACCCCATCACTTAGCTTTAAGATGCCAGGAAGTGCAAGTCAATGGGGGTTACTCCTACTAATTGGAGTATCTGGATTTTTCATGCAATTTTTGATGACATTTGGGGTTCAGTACGAGAAGGCATCGAGAGCTGCATCGATAATGTATGTCCAGATAATATTTGGTATCGCCTGGGAGTTTCTAATATGGCACCATTTGCCAAATATTTTGAGTTGGTTAGGGATAATAATTATATTGAGTACATCATTTTGTGTGTTTTATTTTAAAAAGAGGGAAGATGACGATATCCCACACAGAGTTCTTGACGAAGAGGAAGATTTTGATTCTTCTGTCATTGAAAGTCATGAAGAATTCGATATTCCGATGAAAAAGCTTCATAAGGTTGATGGGTAATGTACAGAAACTTTTCTAAATGCATGTTGACTCATCTATTTACATATTAATTCAATAACTAAATTCTTCTTCTGGTGGTGGAACGTATGGTGGTGGCTTGAAAAATTCTTGATCAGCAACAACAGCTTGTTTATACGATTCCGGATTATCACAATAGTGATATAGATAATCCAACTCCAAATCATGAACTTGTCTACCTAAGATGATTAATGAATGTAGCGGTTCACCAGAATCATATTGGGCTAGTTCTTTCAAAGTAGCAGCTTTAAATGATTGAGTTGGTGATCCTAATCTTGAAATCGCAACAGCTGGTGTATTTGGAGTGTAACACTCTTCCTTTCTTTTTTCTTCAATTTCCAACAATTGTTCAGCAGCAGTTTGAATATCCATATATCTTGGTGGTTCGTAAATTAGTCTACCTCTAGCCATGTTTTCAATACTTTGTTCCTTAACTTTGATATCTAATAAAACCAAGGTGTGAAGTCCAATTCTTCTGTTTTCTAAAATTTTGTTGTAAAAACTATCAGGTCTCCAATTATCAGTAAAGAAAACTAATGAAACAGTTTGACCAAAATTGTATAATTGTAATCCACAAGCACCAACAGCATTCATGACTGATGCATTGTGAATGGCTTCAGTTTTAATACCCAATTCTCTAGCTCTAATAACTAAATCAGTATGAGTGGTAGCCCCGAAAACATCACCAACAACTAAGAAGGCAACGTCATCTTCTTGTGCATTTTCCAAGATTTGATCACTTCCACTTTCAACTAATTCTCTATCAGCTAAAATAACTTCACGACCATAAAACTCTTCTAATGATTCTTTACTTGCAGCCATTAAAATTGAGGTATAAGCTTCCAAATAGACCCTTTTACATTTTTTAACCACTTCTAAACCACGCACAGTGATATCGGTCTCATATGAGAGACCCAACCCAATTAGATATAGCATTATCTTTATCTACTTATATCAAAAGTTTTCATATTGTTGAAAGTGCCAAAATTTTAAAGAAAAAATCAAAATTCGAGCCCTCGGCCTTGCCCTCGGAATGCGGCTGGAATTTTTGTATTTATGTCTCGATTATTCAAAACAACTTTAAACACTTTGTAGTTAAAATGGAAAATAGAGAATGATATGAGTAATTCGAAACTGACTTTTCAAAGATTAGCTAGGAAAAGTATTCCCATACCCATTTTCTTGGGGATGGTTTATCTATCATGGGCATATTCTTATTACATTTGCTGGAATGAAGTTTATAAACATCACTCAAAGGCAACAGGAATTGGTTTGATAATTGGTAATATTGCCTTCATATTGTTGATATATTTCATTTGGTGTCAACTCTTGATTATGAATCCAGGTGTACAGCCGAAGATGCCAGTTTTCAAGCTCCTCGAAGACGGAGATGATGCTAGTTATAGATGGGTTCATCCACCTGAATATTTCATGTGTGATGCTCATGGGTATCCAACCTGGTGTAATAGTTGTCAAAGTATTAAAGTTGATAGAAGTCATCATTCCTCAGATTTGAATCGTTGTGTTGCTCGAATGGATCATTACTGCACTTTCCTTGGTACCACTATTGGAAAGAGGAATTATCGTCTGTTTTTACAATTTTGTTTTTGGTACCTTTGTTATTTCATATATATCGGTGTTTCTATGGCATGCTTCACCAGAAGCTATAAAATAAGGCATGGATCGGTCAATGCTAATACAATCATACTATATGTTGCTTCTTTAGGATGGATCATATTAATTTTTGCATTATTCAGCTCTCATATCTATTACATCTTCAAGAATAGAACTTCAATTGATGATATGGCTGCAAAGAGAAATAGAAGAGCAAAATCACTCAATGAAGAGTTCATCAATATTTCACACGAAGAGAAAAGATATGTTCTTAGAGTCAGTTCAATGAAGGATGGAATTTGGAATAAAGGCTTTGCAAAGAATTGGGTTGAGATCATGGGTAATAATATGATTTTCTGGATCATCCCTTGGAGATCTCCTCTCGAACACTTAGGGGATGAATCATCAAATGACTACTACTCTATTATTGGTGATTATAAAGAGGAAATTAGTGAATCTTTCAAGAAATCACTTGTAAAGAGAATTCAAGCTGATGATTATATAAGCTCGAGCTAGTGTTGGATATACCAATTCTAAATTTGGAAGGAGGCACATTTCGCACAAACAAAAAAAAATTGGAGTGTGCTAAAAGTTGTCAAAGAGATGAACAAACCACAAAAAGTCAGTATTTCGGTATTTGGGATTTCGATAATGGTGAAAAACAGATCAGCCAATCCGAATGGTGGAGTCACAGAGCAGAATATCAGTTCCGTTACTGGAGCTGAAGAAGCACAACCATTAATCCAGGACCGGAGTAATCATTCAGTATTGTATCAAGCTATCAATGAGGTGCCTGAGGATTACGAGATTGAACCTCCAAAGAAAATGAAAAACAGGTATAGACTACAAATATACTTTGTCTCATTGATCATAACGTTTATCGGGTGTTTTTCAATCATAAACTTATTGATGCTATTGTCAAGAGCTGAAGAATTTGTGAATCAATCTGTGGAGATGGATATCAAAACTGTTGAATTAGAAAGCATCTCAACAAGCGGTATACATTTGAGAGTTGAAGGTCTAAACGTTATGGATTATAATGGAATTGAAAACTCTTATTTCCAGAATTTGTTCAAGATTGGAGGTGGAATTTTCAATACGGCAACAATTGATTTAAATACAGTCAATTTGACTACAAAAGTGGATGATAAGTTGATAAACATTGGTTATGTTGATATTCCACAATTTGATTTGAATATAAAAAATGGAGAATCCACTAATTTGAATTTGAAGGTTTCAATCAAACCAAACACAAAAGAGATACTGGGATTATTGAAATCTTTGCTAAATAATCCTGATCAGATATTCAGAGTTCATGGACTGTCCACGGTCAAAATTCATTTGGGCTCAATACCAATAGGTAATTTCAGTATAAACTTTGACCAAGATGTTATCGGAAGCAAGTATGTCAATTTCAACGAACGTGACTTTAAGGTGAATGATGTGACTTTTGATGATAATGATGGTAAAGGTTACAATATCTCTTTTACAGTTAGTGTACCCAATCCTGTAAAGTACAAGCTGTTTGGATTTGATATACCATCCTTGGATTGGGAAATTTTGGTTAAAGATTGCTACGACAAGCCTACTATAAATTTGATGGATGGTCCAATCACTTCTCAAAAATTTAAATTATCACCACTGGATCAATTGCTAAGTGTCAATATGACAACTTCAATCGACCATCTCAACTCAAGATTAACTGAAAAATGCTCTTTTGGAAATGATGGTACCCCAATGAGTTTTCTAATTGATGAATTTGTGAATAATAAGAGTTTGCCTGTAATGGTTAAAAATTCAAAAGGCTCAAAGGACTTTCCTGGGTTCATTAATGAATTTTTGAAAACATTTGAATTCAATATAGATTATTTGTCAAATTTCCAAACTTCCCACTTGATTCATAACGTTTCATTAGATAACTTGAATTTTCAATTTCAAAATGGAGATACCAATAAACCAGTTATCAATGGGGATATCAACATCTACATCAAGCCTCCATATAAAATACAGAGCTTTGGAATCAGTAAAATAAAAGGAGTTCCCAGCTTGTATCATCAAGGTTTGGAATTTGGGAAAATTAACTTGAATGAATGGCATGATTGCACAAATGTTGAGATGGATGATTTATTATTTGTTAAATTTACTTTGAATCAAGAAGAGTTAGAAATTACAAATAGAAGAGTTTTTGGGCAAGTTATAAATGAGGTTATAGGTAAAGGTTCCAGTAAAGTGTTTATTGATGCTATACTAGATTGTTTGGTTAGTACATTGTTAGGTGAATTTGAAGTTGAGAAGATACATGCATCAAGTGAATCAGATATAACAAGGGGTTTCATTTTAAAGGGTTTTGGTTTATTATAGTGTAATTAGGAGTTTATATTTATTTATTTTAATGGTAATTAATGATTGTCTAGATGTAGAAAACGTTAATTTTACCTTGCTGTACAGGTTATAATTATTTTTATATCTTCAATCTAATAAACATCACATGTATAATTTCTAAAGCTTCAACACTAACCAGGTGGTAATTGAGAAACATCAACAACATCATCAGCGTTAACAGCTGGAGCATCTTCAGTGGAATCAGATAATGGAGTTCTTGGTAATGCCATCATACCAGATCTGGCAACTTCCAAGACACCAAATGGACGAATTAAAGTTAAGAATGATGAGATTCTTGAAGGTTTAGCACTCAATTCAACAATGATATTTCTATCACTAATATCAACAACTTTACCACCAAATTGGTCAACAATTTTTTGAATTGCTGAAAAATATTCATTCTTTAATCTTAAAATTTCTGAAACTGTTAAATTTCTTGGATGGTATTTAGAGCCACTTGCATTAGAGTCTTGTGAACCTGTTAGATCACCATGATGTTCCAATAAATCTTCAAAATATTCTGGACCTAAAAGAGAAACCCTAGCTAGTAATAATTCTCTTTTAATGATTTCCGCATTTGTATAATCTAAAACAGCATAAACTGGAACTAAGCCTTCGATTTGTCTTCTAGCTTGTTCAATAACTGCATCTTTTTCTCTTAAACAAATGGTCATTCTTGAAAGGTCTTTAACTTCAGTATTTGAAACAACTAAAGAATCAATGTTGAAACCTCTAGCAGCTAAAGTACCAGAGACTAAAGATAAAACACCCGGTTCATTTTGAACAAGACAACTTAACACATGTTGTTTGACTGGTGGCTTAACATCAGATGGAGATTCGTATAAAATAGAAGCAACTGCTGATTCTGCACTCCATTTTGGGGTTTCTAAAGTTGGTAATGGTGGTCTTTGTTTATTTCTCAACAACTTATAAGCCAAGGCTGAAGTTGAAGATGAGTTTGATCTTTGACCCAATTGGCGAATGAGCCTTTGATTCAAAGATGATTTCAGTATAGGAGAAACCATGATTTGAGCTGAATGATGAGATATAATGTGGAAAGTTGATAAGAAATGATTCATTTTTGACTTTTTTTTTCTTCCAACATGATGAATTCGCGACTTGTGGAGTTTTGGCATAGGGTAATGGCGAAACAGGGCCGTCGCCGGACAGGCGCTTTTAAGCTCTGTGAACTTCAAAAATGGCTGATGAATGAAAGTGATGATGATGGATTTGACTGAGAGGGTTCATTTGTAGCGTGTAGTTGGTTGTGTTGTGTGCTGTGGTTGTATTCTTCATTTCAGTTGATCTAACCATTTCAAGTTCTTGTTGGTGGTGCCAATGATTTCTAGATGCTGATTAACTCTGTGTGATTTGTTCTCAATCTTGTTGACTATTGGAGGTAGCTTACCCAGGTTCTTATCAAAATCATCATGGTTCTTTTTGAATGTGGATTCAATTGCTTCTACGTTGAACAATTGTGTCAACGGTGTTCCTCTGACCTCTTTCCAATCTGGCGGCAAGGTATTTGATGATTTGGACATGCTAATCGAGGAATCTGGGATAAGGTAAATGGGCCTGGATGGAAGGTAGCAGGTGGTAATTATGCTTTGTGTATTCAATGAATTGAGCAAATACTAATTTTTAGTCTTTTATTCCTGTTGTTGATTGACCAGAACAAAACGTTTTCAAAAACATTGGCCTCGCGAAAATCGAATAATTCGCCATGGGACAGCCCAATGCTCTCAAAGGGCAACGTCAAGCTTGTATAGATGCTGGTAATACAACTAGCTACAAAGATAGCAAACATCTTCTGAGAACATCCTATTTAATATATACATCCAAACAAAAGTAAACACAAGTATTAGCTGTGAGTATCGTAGTAGAGTCAAAATGCTATAGAAGGTACAAGTATTTCAACTGAACTTACAATACTCAGAATAACATTGCTCTTACCTGTAAGAGTGAGCCCGCATATGGTGGATTACAAGCCAATACACGGTCAATGTAGCCAGGGATTGTTGTAGAGAAAGTAAGAAAGAAGGAAAACAACATTTTGAATTTTTTTTCGCCTTTATGAACGGGCTATTGAACCGTTGTCAAATGACAGTCGAGAAAAATCAAAACATGGAAAAAAAATACACGACTTCCCTCAACAACATCAAAACAAATAATAAAGTGACAATAAAATCAACATCTATCATGTCAGCTCAGAAAGAACAAAAACAAAAACAACAAATTACCTATTTTGAAAAACAAAGAGATGCTTTGATCTCAGAAATTGCAATCGTAAGTGACAATAACAAATTTGGTAATGGCATCATTTAACTAACAAAATCAGTCAATGGATTCAGTTTTGAACAATGTTAACGCGTTGAATAGATCATTAGAAGGTTCTATTGCTGTTGGTAAAGAATTTGACAGTGTGTCAAGTTTATGGAGTAATTTCTATGATGGTTTGGCACAAGTTGAACAATTACGTGCTCAACAAAATCCAGAAGACGTTGATGAAAACCATCAGGATGAACAACCAGAGTCTCAAGATCAAGAGATGAGATCAGATGTCCCAATAAGTGATAGTCAAGAAGAAGAAAATAGAATGGATGTTGAACAAGAACCATTGAATGAAAATGTCGAACTACATGAACAACCAATTAATGACAGTTAATTATACTATAGAACAACCTATAAATGATCTTCTTTTATGATATGATGTTACTCTCTTATTTGATTTTCCCTCAGACCCTTTTGTTTGCTGCTGCTGCTGCTGGTCCTCATTATCACCAAGATATAATATATTGGTGATTGTATTTGTTCTTGTCTTTGGCATCAGTAAGCCAACTGGTTGTTGTGGTTTGGCCTCCGTTGTGCTTAATATAGCCAATTGTTCAAAAACTTTGATATAACTTTCCCTATCAACCAATGAACACTCCATATATTTACATCCCAACTTTTTAGCATACTTATAACAATAGTCATATGGTGGAACTTTATCAATTTTAGTTTTATCAAACCTAACTTCAGATCCAATACCAACAATAATTTTGATTGAATTTGGACAATGTGTTTCCAACTCTGGGATCCATCTTTCTTCAATATGACTTAATGATTCCAACCTATCCAATGTGAAACAGATCAATACACCTTTAGCATTGGCATAAGCTAATGGACGGAACCTATCAAAATATTCATCACCAGGAAAATCCCAAATCTGAAGGTCAACTATGGTATTATTATTAAAATTGATTGATTTATCATAAGTTTCAAAAAGTACTGATTTTGGTGCTGTTGAAAACTTCTTGTTCAAATATGTCAAAACAAGACTTGTTTTACCACAATTGGAATCACCAATAAGGACAACTGTTGCAGATTTCTGAATACGCGGTCCTATAGCTTTGATTGAGTTTGCTCTGGATCTTGCAGTAGTAGCTCTTTTTGTTGCTGGTCTTGAGCTATGACTGTAATGCCTGTTGGAAGTTGTGATTGATCTTGAAGGGCTTGGTCTTTGGAACTGCTGGTTTTGGTGCTTTGGGCTATTTTTGAAAGATCTTAGTGGAGGATTATCAACGTTACAATTTTCATCGTTGATTGGGTAAAGAACTGAAGGGTTATTCATGGTGTTGTTCATAGTGCTGTTGTCTGTTGGTGAAAGGTTGAATTACACAAAGTCCGATTTCAGGTTTTTTCAAGTTGAAAGAAATTCTACAGTACTAAACTACCACAAACAACAATATTCTATAGCAAATTAAAGATTGTATACATGTTATAAAGCAAATTGGTCATTAGTCATTAGAAGTCATAGCAAAAGTTGGTCATAGGTCACAATAATTATTTCTTTGAGAGATATGAATGAAGGTGGTTGATATTGGCTCGTTTAGATAAACCAACACGATATGGAATTGGTGTTTTTTTAGCGCAAAGTTCAGCTAGTGTAGATTTTCTCTTTGTGGGTCTAGTAGTGGTGGTTCCTTTCTTTGATGTTGTTACAGCGGCTGAAAGACTGTCCTTTTCAAGATCAGGTTGAGAGTCGTTAGCTTCAGTATTATTTTCTTTGATGGTATTTGGTTCTTCACTTAGGTCTGTTGGTACACTATTGTCCATTTGAACATTTTCTTTCTTGTTGAAGGCTTCAGCATCCAGTATTTCAAGTGAATTTTCTTCCTCCACCTTCTTGGCAACAACATTCACTCTTTCATCCTTCTGTTCGTCATGTGAATCTTGTTGTTCTTTCTTATAAACAGCCATTCCCTTCCCACTATCCAAGTTCTTCTCATACCAGCCTTTACTCCCTGCAACGTCGTAGACTTCAATTTTTTCTAGCACTATATCTTGAGATCCTTCACTTTCATCATTTGTGTGCTCTGAAGCATTTTCATCATCTTCCAAAACACTTTTCAAATCTTCTGCTTTCAATGAATTGTTGTCATCCTCTTTATGGTCACCATGTGAAACCATCGAGGTCATCTGGGTTGATTCTTGTATTATACTGAAATCCTTCTCTATTGTCGAACTGTCGACATTATCTGGAAGTAATACACTCAAAAGATCTTTCTTTTTCTTCTTGGATTCACCAGGATCTGTTTTGGATCTTTTAATAACTCTCCTTGAGTTAAAACCTTCATCAACAATTGACGTGGCGGCTCGTTTTCTTTGAACCAATTTGAACGGATCCTCAGCATCATCTGAATCATCTTCTGAATCCATCACTTCAAACCCCAGAAGTTCCAGCCCATCATCCTCTTGACCATCATCTTCTTTACTATCATCACCATTAACCGCCTTTCTCTTGTTCTTCTTCAATAGGTTCTTGTGTCTGCGATCACCCAGATCAGGAAGTCCATCGTCAAGAATAGCATCACCGCTGATGCCCATGCTTCAAGTATCATATATCTTCTCTTCCAATGTGTAAGCGTGCCGTAGAACCAATCAAGCTAGTTTATTTGCTTTTGCTAGTTGGTGAGTTGAAGTAATCCTTTTGTTTAGATCTTGAGCTCAGATCTCAAGAGTGTAGAATATTCGCGCTTTTTTTCTGTTTTCGCGTCAGGTAGTAAAAAAAATCTGAAATATTTGAACCTCATCTCACTTAACAACCTTGATTCTCTAAAGCTGTCCGCTCAGCTCGTGAGGGAGTTGATAATTTTGCTGTGTGTTTTGGTTTGTTGGTAGTTTGGGTATGTCATCGGTCAGCTTGCTGAGGATCAATCTCAAAGTATTATTCAATTTAGTTCGGTTCTTACCTGATGATCAAGAAATTATTCAAGCTTCTTTACCAGATACTTTATCAACCATTGTAATTGCTCAGATTGTGGAGGGAAACACCACACCCGAACACCACTCAGTTAAGCTGTTTTTGAAGTATATGTGTGTCAAGGTTACTGGTTATAGAGATCTGTTCAATATTGGTCGTATGGATTTGAAGTATTGTTGTGGAAAAGATTTCATGTTTTTTCTCAACAAGCATCTTGATCTAGGATACTTTTGAACCTTACAAAAAGAAGTAATCTCAATGGACTTGCTTTAAGTCTGTTTAGTATTGACATCATACAAAAAACGGTTCAATTGGCGCATCCCGGCTTTGATCTTGATGGAATAAGTTCATTCTTATCCCCCAAGGTTGGACTCAACACACATTCTATTTCCGGCTTCCTTGGTTGCCTCTTTTCGAGGCAGCACAGTGCTTCTGATTATTTGTGTGTTTTAAATCTTATATGCCCGTCAGAGGTTTTGTTAAAATGGTTCTTTTTTCAAGTGATTATTTTTCTTTCCAAATTTTAGAAAAGAATAAAAGTCGTTCCAATCAAAAAGAGAATTGCTCACTCAAGGATTTAGCCCTGTTTTGATTGCTTGAAGTTTAGTTTCTTTAGAATATTGGGACCACTAAGGAACACGTCTAGGTTGATGATATATTGTTCCTTGCAAGAATACGATTGATTCATCTCATCACAACATTCCCATCTTACTACAGTTCTGATTGAAGTGGTGTAACTACGTCGATTATTTGTGAATCTTTAAATGTCTCTATTGATGAAGGGCCCGGTTAGTATGATCATCTGAACCAGATTGTGAATCAAGAACTGGGATCAGCGCACAAACTTTTATTGTGTCGCGTCGGATTCAAGATAGTTTATTGATTTACTCATATATTGCGTTGGTTACGTATGCTACTCGCAGACTTGGTGGTGGTCAAACATTACTCCTACAGAATTATCTTGACCTCGAGTGGATAGCCCTCCTCCATTTTTTCCACTGTAAGTTACTTTCACTATTGATCATACAAGAAATACAAAGCTAACATCTATTCATTATTATCTATTAAGAACATAAAGGATCAGTAAGACCTTGTGTCCAATTATAAGATCCCAAAATCAATAACATACCAATATACGAAACAGCAAGACTAACAAACCCATATTTGTAACTATTAGGAGATTTTATTGTATAGAGCTCAACAACAAAAGTACTAACCGTAGATAATGCACCACAGAACCCATCATCCAATCCTTGAATCATATGACACGCTAATACGGAATTTATTATTCTTCCACCATTGGGTAGTTTCCCTCTACTCAATAGATTTAACATTGCAAGCACCAAAGTTGCAAAAACATTACAGGTAAACGTACCAAGGGGGAACCTTTTGAACTTTGGGTTCAGTAATTTGGAAACATAGAATCTGGTCCAACAACCAATTGGTGCAACTATACATGAAAATGTCCATGATCTCCAATTCCTTATAGCTATCAAACATATAACTGCAATCCATGCCAGAATACCACATAAAGCCGCTAAATTTTCAATAAGTTTCATATGTGGAATTTTAGGATCATATAATTTAATTAAATGTTTCCCAAAATGTAATCCAGCAATGGATACACACATTTGAGTAATAAAGACAGAGGCACATTCCATAATCCCATAAGCACCATTAGGATAATGATAATATTTACCAATAGAAATATCAGCAGACTTGACAAATGCTTCTAATATCAATGAAGAAAATGAAGATAGTGTACCACAGAATCCAGTAGCCAACCCAGTATATAATGCAACAGTTGCTTTTGGCGCATAATCCTTCCAAGCACGTTGTGATTGGATCAACATACCCATCACTACACATGCTGTGAAATTTGCCCAAATAACACCACCAACAAACGCACCACTATAGGTAGTTAATACAGTTAAACCTTTTCTGGCTAGGACACCTAATATTGCGAAAAAAGCCAAGATTGAGAGCAGTTTGATTTCTTTGAAGACTCTTGTTCCTTTTGCTTCAGATATTTTTGTATTGAGTGTATCTAGTCTTGTCTTTTCAATATCAACACTTGGATGAGCTATGTTACTATCCTCGGGTAATATTTGATGTAGTGAAACTAAATCCTCACCAGAGCCACCTTCAGCAGTTTGAACCACTTCAGAGCGGGAATAAGCTCTGGGTCTTGTTTCAACATTGGAAGTCTCTTGTGGTGAGTTTGAATACTCTTCAGTATTGTCATTATCTCGGATGGGTTTAGTATTGCTTTTACCTCTGTTCACGAGATCATTTCTATCACTCGATTTACCAGCACCAGTATAAACTTTGTTATTGTAGGCTTCATCGCCACTGCTTATCTTTGACGACGATGAATTATCCTCTAGAGACATGTTGGAGTTTTTGGTATAGCTGTTTGGTAATGACTCAAGCTGGTTTGTTTTGAAAAGACTCTTTTTTTTAAAGCCGTCTCTTGATTGTTGATATAAACCAAAATTCAAAAACTTTCTTAGTCACTATGCTTCAAAACGTTTAAAGACCATAATACCAAACAGTTGATCAAAGTCCATGAAATAGTTGAATAATGAAATATCAATTAAAGGTAAAGCACTAAAAACTTCAAATTAAACGCAATTTGTATTAGCCAAGTCCAGAGTGGCCATATCAGCGGATAATTGGTACCGGGCAGCAAACCTGGCCATTCCCAAATTTTTCGCGCCTACATAGAAAATTTTATTTATCAGATGCGATGAGCTTTTAATTTGATGTAAATTGATACAATATCTCATATAGCTAAAATGGATGACGGATTATTGTTAAATTTCAGTACTGATGTATCTGATCCTGCTCCAAGCAAGTCAAACTCCAAAGTAGTTGGTGGTAAATGGAAAGACCGTCGTAAAGCTCAGTTATCTGCAAGAGGTATAACAAAGAAAGATAAATCCAAAACAGGTGCCAATAGTAAACCCATAAAACCAAGAGCTTCTGATGATAAAGTTGATGATAAGATTGGAAATACTGATACACCATCTTCAAATCCAGTTAGAAAAAGACCTGCAAATTCCGAGCATGAGAATAAGGGCCCAACTAAACAAGCTAGATTCACTGAAGGAAGAGGTACTGCTGGTAAAAATGATACTTATGTCTCATCGTTATTTACTTCAAATCCAACATTAACTGAAAGAGATTATACTAAAGAGCTAGAAGTCCATGAACCTTCAAATGCTCCATTGGCAGATTCTACAAGTTTTGATGGTCTAGGTATAAAAGAAATATTGGCAAAACATTTAATTGAGAACCTTTCTTTAAAACATCCAACAAAGATTCAAAGATCAGTTCTACCAAGACTGCTAACAAGAGAAAGGGATTTATTTGTCCAAGCTCAAACAGGTTCTGGTAAAACTTTAGCATTTGTCTTGCCAATTTTCCAAAAATTAATGGAGATTGAAGGCCTTAACCGTACAACTGGTATCTTTGCATTGATTTTAGCACCAACAAGAGAATTGGCTACCCAAATCTATTCTGTTATTGAATCGTTATCACGTTGTTGTCATAGAATTGTTCCAGGTATTGTTATTGGTGGTGAAAAAAAGAAATCAGAAAAGGCAAGATTAAGAAAAGGTGTGAATATTTTGGTTGCAACTCCTGGTAGATTAGCTGACCATATTGAAAATACTGAACGTTTAGATTTATCCAACATAAGGTATGTTGTATTAGATGAAGGTGATAAATTGATGGAATTGGGGTTTGAAGAAACTATTGCCAAAATTTTATCAGATATTGAAAAAACTTCTAGAATATCAGCAACAACAAGAATATATCCAACTTTACCTCATAAAAGAGTCAATGTCTTGTGTTCAGCAACCATCAAGAGTAATGTTAAAAAACTTGGTGAAATTTCACTGAACGATGCAGAAATGGTTAATTCTAATTCTGTTCCAGATGCTGAAGATCTTGAAATGGCTGAAAATGTCGCTGCTCCAGATCAATTGATACAACAAGTTTGTGTTGTTCCTCCAAAATTAAGATTAGTTTCACTTGCATCAATTTTGAAAAATATAACGATACAAAAATCAGGATCACGTACAATGATTTTCTTATCATGTTCAGATTCTGTTGATTTCCATTTCTCTGTGTTTGCTAAAGGTGGGAAACTTTTAAACAAGGCAACAAGTGAATACCAAGAGGCTAATAGTCAATCTACAGTGATAACTTCCCCATTATTAGGAGAAAACACATTTGTTTACAAGCTTCATGGTTCGTTATCTCAACAAGTGCGTACTGCTACACTATCTGCATTTTCTAAAGCTCCAGAAGATCAACATACAATAATGCTTTGTACAGATGTTGCATCAAGAGGTTTGGATTTACCATATATCTCCACTGTTATTGAATACGATCCTCCATTTGCTACAGAAGACCATTTGCATAGAATTGGTCGTACTGCTCGTGCTGGTAAAGCTGGTAAATCATTCTTATTTTTATTACCAACAGAAGAGAAGTATCTTGAATTAATAGAACATTATCATCCAAACGGTGTTCAACACAAGTCATATGAAGCTCTATTACAACTAGGTTTTGGTGCTAAATGGGATTTTGATGCCACCACATGGCATTTAAATGTTGAAAGATGGTTATTAGAGGATGAAGGAGCTCACGAAAAGGCTGTTAAAGGTTTCACGAGTCATATCAGAGCTTATGCTACACATATTTCTGCTGAAAAGAAAGTTTTTAACATCAAAGCATTGCATTTAGGCCATTTAGCTAAAAGTTTTGGTCTTCGTGAAACTCCAAAGAAACTTGGAGGTAAATCAACTGGCGGTGATGGTAAGAAGAAGAAAGAAAATCCAAAAGATAAAATGTTTCGTGTGGCTAGAATGGCTGTTAAGGCTCAAAGTGATGAATTTAATTTTATGTGATGACTTTTAATATTTTCTACTCTGCATTTTGTTTTTTTTTTCCAATTAATTAACATGCATTTCTCATTCAAATCTTTTGTAGATAACCTTGTTGTATCAATCTCTCGACATCCGCTTTACGTACGAAAAACTGTGAATCTTTAGTTAAATTGAAAACACCATACTCTGTTTGAATCTCACCAGCATCCTTTATCACTCTAACATCTATGAAAACATCCTTTGGCGGTACCAGCGATCCAGAAAGGTCAACTTCTGCAAATGAACTTTTATAATCAATAAGTATATCTGAATAGGCTTTGAAATATTCAATCTCATTATGATTTGTCAATTCTGGTTCTGTATTTTCCCATGCAAGTTGGTCAAGCCTTTGAGCTCTGAGTTTCTCATAAGCTAGCAAACAACGCTTATTACGACGCATACAAAGATGTGTCACAAAGACTTGTGCCTGGTCAGCACGATCTGAGAACTCATCTTGACCCAGCATGTCCTTCTGCCTGTCTAAATCTTTTGTTTCCTTAACAATGCTTCTTATTAGTTCATCTTGAAAAAGTGCTAGAGATTCCAGGTTTTGTGCTCTCTTTGCTTCATTCACCAGCTTAGCAGCATGATCACCGTACATTTTGATATCTTTTTACCTTGTAATGTCTTTAAACAAGTATGATTGAATTCGTGTTTATGGTTTTTCACTTTTTCGTGTCAGTCGCAGTCGCGATTTTCTGTAGATTGAATTCGCGGGATGAGGCGAGTAAAAAATCAAAACAAAAAACAAACAAGATCTGTATTTTGAATTGACATATAACATCTCGTTCAGTCCAAGGGGAAAGGGTCTTTACAATTCAAGGATGTCCTCAAGAATCACATATGGGAAGAAGGGTAGAAGGCTAGGTACTGGAGCTGCTAGACTGCAACCAGCTGTGGAATTCTCTCCAAAAAAGGAAAACAATATAACTGATAGACCTTTAACCACATCGTCAAGCACACAAGAGAGCGACAATGCTCCTCTCACATCTCCATTCAATTCACCAACCAAGAGAGCACCTAGAAAAGAGATTGTACCAGATGTTGAGGATCAAGGGTTCGATTTTGGTGTTTTTGATTTGGAAGAAGATGATGTCAAACCTGCCATGCCAAAGAAGGTTAATAGAACTAGAACCAAGCTAAAAAAAGTTGAATCTAAAAATGAATCAACAGATACAATACCCACATCTCCCAGTGCCTCTCTGGGAAGCTTCTTTGTTGAATCAAGTGCCAAACCTACTTGGTCACCTTCAAAGTCCACATCTGCCTCTCCAAAAAAAGAGAATATAACTTTACAAAAATCACCAACCTTATCATTCACCAAAAAGATCAATAACTCAAAAGTTGAACCAAAGAAAGTGGTCAGAAAGAGCCTCAAAAGACCATTGAAACTACAAGATACTGAAGCTGCTGGTGATGTGTGGGATCTACTTTCTGATATTCCTCAAGAACGACCAAAGAAGAAAACCATGGTTTTTAAGGAAAAAGATGTTGAAATGACAGATTTATCAACAACCAATTCCAACACTGAATCTCAGGAGAATGAACTGATATCTTTTTTCAATACTCAACAAACCGATACTCAACCTGACGATGAACCAAGTACACCTGCACCAGAAGACACACAACTCCTAAGGGAATCAACAGCATCACCAAGAATCTCGAAAACCCTCAAAACGTATGGTTTACAAAGAAGTTTCCTACTTGAGAAGCAAAACCAAGATGGGCAGGACCAACTTGGAACTCAGGAAGAACATGATACAACGCTCACAAGTGAACAAGATCAAGATAACACTGAAGGTTTGAAGACCATTTCAAATTTGAGGGCACAAGGTGAAAATGCACAGTTTTTGGATGAGCTAAATTTCATAGTGGAAGGAATAGAGACTCCATCTTCTATAACTTCATCTCTTTTGGAGCTTGCTATAAGGCTTTTTGATAATGAATTTCTCAACCTATTGAAACATCATGGTTTACCATCTTTTCATAAAGATATTGATGCTGATAAATTATTACAAGTTTTTGTGTTTGGGTTTATTGCCTGTAAGGTATTAGAAGGTGGAAATGGGAAAATTATGTTTGATGATCAGTTGGTCCACATTGTGAAAACTCTACTCAGTTGTAACAATGAAGTTGAGGCTATAAAAGAATCAAGAGCCACAAAAGCTATTTTCAAGGAATTCAAGGATAAATTAGGTGATATTTATACACCAGCATTTTTGGGTCTTACATTTCTTATACAAAATAATTTATTCATCAATGCTGAAATATTCGAGACTTTAATTGAACTGTTCATGAACTTGAATTCCAAGAATGATCAAGATATAAAGATGATCAACATGATACTGCTATTATTTGAATCATTTTTGGGATCAACGCAAGCTGTTGACGATAAATTTGAGAAGATTGTTCCTGTTCTTCTTGAGTTGAATATTAAAGATCAAAATTGTCGCATTGCTCTCCTCAAGGTATTGATTGTGCTCTCTGTGAAAAAGTTTGAACCTGTTTTCAGTGAAGTTTTGGTTGATAGATCTATTGAAAGCTCAATTCAAAATTCAAATACCTCTGTGGGGCTTTTAGAACTTGGGTTGTTGATAAATTTAGTTGAAAAAGATGCTTGTTGTAAACGAGCGTTGAATAAGGCAAATTTGAAAAGATTATACAGACTACAGAGCAAGTTGCAGGGTGAATCTAAGGATTATTATTCCTTATTGATTGGAATTATGCTAACCAAGTTTCCTCATGTGCTCAAAAATACATTTCATGAGGATGATATAACGGACATAGCATCTCATTTACAAAACTTCAATTCGAAAGGAAACACATTGATAAGTCTACAAGTTGAAGAAATCGTATCAAAAATGCATAAATTGAAAATCATAATATAAGGGAAATGATCTATGGTGCTATTCTAACCAAATTCCATGGTTGATCTTCAGAATCACGTCTGTAAACAATACGATCATGTAAACGACTTGGGCGTCCTTGCCAAAATTCAATCTCTAGTGGTATAATTCTTAACCCACCCCAAAACTCTGGACATGGGATTTCATCAACACCTTCGAATTCTTTTTCTCTTTTGGAATAAACGTCATCAAACTCTTCACGGCTCTTGATAACGCTGGACTGAGGACTTGACCAAGCACCAATACGTGAACCTCTAGGTCTTGTATCAAAGTATCTTTGAGAAATTTCTCTTGGAACAAACTCAGTCTTACCTTCAACTCTTACTTGACGCTGTAGATTAGGCCAAAACCAAGTTAGAGCAGCTTGTGGGTTTGACTTGATGTCTCTGGCCTTTTTGGAACTATCCCAATTTGAATAAACGACAAATCCTTTATGATCCAATTCTTTGAAAAGAACAACTCTTGAAGAAACTCTTCCTGAAGGTAATTCAGCAGTGGCAAAATTTGCAGACTCTGGCAATTTCTCATCTTTTTGAGCTTCATCAAACCATTTCTTGAATTGAATTATTGGATTTTGATCAACTTGATCAATCTCAAGTGATCCTTTTTCGTATTGGTAAGTCTTTGGAGCAACTACATGGACAAGTTAGCTATATCCCGAGTAGAAGAATGAGCAGTTAAATCAACTTACAAACTAGTGGTTCTTCTTCCTTTTGAGTAGACATTGTGCTGATATATCTTTTGTGGTGTATAGTACAAAGTATTTCACCAAATAACAATCACCAGCTTTTATAAGTGCAGCAGCTCTCGGATTTTATTTTTAAGAGTCAACCATCACGTGAAAGAAACTGACTCAGGTTAACACGGCTGGAGATACCTCTTTGTGGATGTCTAAACTACAGACTTTAGTTTGAAAAGGCTATCATATAGATGAATAGTAAAAAACCACATAGTTATTTGAGTCATAGTATTATACGGGAAATATATCACTACATGTTGTTTTGTAGGCTTCTTAGTGAACCCGTTCCAACTGACAGATCTGATAGATTCAAACCCCAGAAAATTACATCTTGGCCTTAATCCAATAAGTGCAATGTTTTTTATAAGTCTATTATACATGTTCGTGTCCTTTCCCTTAGTTACCTCTATTTGTGTCAAAATCATTATTTGGTCCATACTCATCAAAAATACCGAACAGACTAGCATATTCCTCACTAGATAAAACATTTGAATTGGGCATATAACCACTTGAAACCCGTTGAGTATCTATAATATTCGGAGGATTCAAGAGCTTATGCAAATCATCACTATCAATATTGAATATATTATTTTGATTAATTGCAGATGGTGAAAGATTGAATGATGAAGATTCTCCAGATTCACTAGCTCTTTTGGTGTAGCCATTCACTGGATCATAAAATGAGCCACCACCAGCACCACTTGGATTAAAGCTACTTGGATGATTTAATTGATTGTTGATGCTATCATTTTTACGAACTGCAGGTTGTAAAACTGACACAAGATTTGAGTTTGATGTTTCAATCAATTTTGAAATTTCTTGATTAATTAAATCCAAAAGGAAATTACTTTTTGGAATACGTTCTGGTGTGAAACTTTGTAGATGATTGTGTAAAACATTATTATCACTTGCAAAATTTTTCAACAAATCAAATGCAGCTTTATCAAAATCAAAACCTGGATCTTTCATCTTGTGATAAATCATTCTAAAAGCAGTAACAAGTCTTGTAAAGTTATAGTGAGAAACACTCATTTTTGTCAGTAGTTGTAAACAATTTTCAAGGTTGTAGCAAATCACATCTAAAAACTCTTTTAAAAGTTCATATCTTTGAATATCGGTTTCCTTCACCATTGCTTTACCTTGAATAATTCTTAGTGCTATCGATGACAAGTTGAAAAAAGCTCTGAAAATGGCAGGACCAGCATTAGCTCTGAAATAAAAAGCAAAACCTTTACCGACATAAATTTCCTCATTAAATGCCAAATTCATTGCAGTATTAACAATTTTCAATGAAAGTTGTAAAACATCCTCCAAATATTTAAAAGCTTGTTTGGTGTTTTTTTGATCTTCAAAATGACGGAATAAATTGGTGTTTAAATATAAAGTTACTGAAGTAACTTCAAACAAATAGCAAATCTTCTTTATTCTAGCAAAATTTGGTAGTGATTTGTCACTCAATATATCTTTTAAAGATCCAATTTTGAATTGTGCAAAATTTTCAGATTTTTTAATCAAGTGAATTAAATCTAAAACTGATGGGGGATTTTTAATATTTCCAATAGCTTGGTAAATGTCTCTAAATAATTGACTCTTTTCCTCACAAAATTTGAAGTCCTTGATGAGATAACGATCATTATCATCTTCTTGGCCATCAAGGAATGGCAGTTTTGTATCATAAGAACGATCATCGATGATATGCAAAGGTAAACCTAAGGTCATTGATTGATTTGCATCCATTTCCAACAACTTGTACCATATTCTTCTCCATAGTTGAGCATGTGCCTTCTTCTTTACCGAGTTGGCCAGTGAGACCAATTCATCTGGATCTCTATGAAGCCCTAAAGCATATGCACTTGAGAATAGTGAACCCAACATGATTTGATTTTCACTTCCATCACACACGTCATCATCTTCGTTACAGAATTTGTAGTAAAACTTGATGTAAATCAACAATTGCATCAATCTCAAACTGAATGGTTTTCTCCAGTACTTGTATTGGTCCAAACATAAGTGAACAGCTGTAATCAAATTTGGGTTGAATTGGAAATTTTTCAAGTCTTTCAAATCCTCTTTTTCTTCAAATTCTTTTTCAGATATACTTAAATGTGCTAATTTCAAGACAAGAAGTAACAATCCAACAATTGCAAAATCATACTTGTTTTGGATGTTTAATTTTTCAATCTTGTTATCTTTAAACCCAAGTTGTCCAATAATACCATCAATTTCAAAAAGGAACGAACCTTCATCCAAAAATGGCAAGAGTGGGTAAACAAATTTGAAAAATCTGAAGATAAGAATCATCATAACTTTTCTAGTTGGTAAAACATCCAATATGGTTTGTTCAATGGAAGATCCAACACTATTTAATCTAGAAACTTTTTGGGTCATTTTTTCCTTCTTCAACTCCTTATAACTTAAAGAACATTTACTACCATCTGAATTCAATGGATCATCTTCTTGTGCATCAAAAGGACATACATGTTTACCATTCCCTTCACTTTGTTGTTTCAACTCTTCTAGGTTTTTCCAAATATGTGTCCACAAGACCAATAAATAGTTATCCTTTCTCAAAGACGCAAGAAACGAAGCAGGACCATGACTTTCTAAACGACGCTTTTTGATAATGAATGGTAAATAGTCGAAAAACTTGACTCTTTTACTTAGATAATCATCATACTTTGGTCCTTCGGAAATAGGAGGAACATTGGTCAAAGAACTAGTTGAAGGTTGGAAAGATGGTTGAGCAAATGGTTGTGGATTGAAGAGTGGAGGTGGTGGTGCTGATTGACTAGCATACTGATAATTGTTTGATAATGGTGAAGATTGTTGAGGTTGGGATGGCGGTTGAGGGATGGAGAACGGTAATGGTTGTTGAGGTTGAGGCTGCGGAAGTTGGATTGCACCAGCAGCAATTTGACCATAGTTGGAGTTGTTGAACATTGGGGGAGTTGATCTGGATAGCTCAGTGACTGCGATGGACGCCTCCAACTGCTTGATCTTATCCTTCAAGCTCTCGATCTTGTTTTGAACAGACGGTGGTAAGTCAGCACTGGCGGGAGAGTCTGTATCGGCGCCATAAACCGAATCACCTGGAGTCCCAGCACTGGCGCCACCAGCGTTAACAGAACCAACAGGCTTAGCATGCTTCAATATATCAGCAGAGCTGATCCAGGAAGGCTCTTTATAGTGGCACAGATGGCCAACGTTACTCTTTGCACAACTGCTACATGCTGGTTTCCCTTTATCACACTAAAAAAATAAATGTTAGTACTCCGAAACACGAAAAAAAAATCAGGAAAACTCTAACGCCCAAAAAATGGTCAGATTGCAAAATACTCACCTTGATCTTTCTCTTCCGGCACACAGAACATGATGTTGGCACTCTCATTCTCTTTCTCTGTTTGAAGCCATCGCCATTCTCTTTCTGCTCTTTTGCGTTGTTGTTTGAAGAACCTCCATCCTCAGGGGATGGCCCTTCAGGACTCAACTTTTGCTGCTCGGCCATTGGGTTAAAAACCGACGATATTGAGATTTAACGTATCAACTGATAAAATCTCTTGATCGCGACGATGTATTGATACTGTATGAGATGTGGTATCTTCAAGATGGTGTCTTTGCAGTATTGGCTTCTTCTTGATGGGGGTGTTCGCCTTTGAAATGGTTGATTACAAAAGATGGAAACCCTGGATTTAAAGAATTCATAACGGACATTTCGTTACAAAGCAAAAAAAAAAACTCAAGCTCGGTAGGCGCAGTAAGTTTCGCGAAATTTTAGGTGCATTTGGTCGGCTTTGGGCGGGCTAGTTACATACCACAGATCATATTTTGAATAAAACCATATATTTTCCCATTTTCATATCTCATAATTAATTAATTCAGCTAAACCAGCTACTTGACATCATGTTATTAAAATCAACAGCTGATCCAGCTCCATCACCCATACTATTTAAACCATCTTTATCTTCTTGTAAACCAGTCATGAAATTATCTAAAGATGAACTACCTTGTAAAAGATCCAAGTCTGGTAATCCTGTAAACCCAAAAGTCTCGCCCATTGATTGTGAAGGATCCTTAAAGCTCAAAAAGTTCTCTGATTGTTGTAAATCATTCTTAAATTGGTCCACCATTGTTGCATCATCTAAATTTGGATTGATTAAATTAGCTTCTAAATTCTCGAAAAATGGATTGAACAAGTTTGATTGATTGAAATTTGATTGTGTTGGTTGAGATTCTTGACCTTGCGGTTTCTCATCAAGTTTCGATGTGAGAGGTTTGGTTTTGGCCTTCTTTTCCTCATCAGTTGATAAAACTAACGGAACTGCGTTCAAAACATTTGATACACCCTTATCAGCTTCAACATCCTTAAGATTTTCCGTCTTCACCAAATCCTTAACGATATTCACAGGTTTTTTCAACAAAGTTACAAAAAACCCAACTGCTTTACCCATTCTCCAACTATATGAATATTTTTGGCCCAAAGTTTCAGCCAACTTATGGAAGCTATCCATATGACTCAGTAAAATAGTGGCCAAAGCTTCTCCAGAATTAACATCAACATTGAAAGCAGATACATATTGTTCACTTTCATCTTTGATTTCAACACTATTCAAATCATAGTTTCTATTATCAATATTATTACTACCCGTTTGAGAAGAATCATTTGAATCATCAGGAACCATTGGAAATGAACTTTTTTCAACAACACTAGGTTTCATAAAAGGACCACATCTTGATCTCAAAATCAAGGAAACCATAAACTGCATAGAACGATGACCAACTAATAATAGCAACGGAGCTAAAACAATATCAGAACCAGGACCAAAATAATCACCACCACAATCGAAAAACAATGTACAATTTCTATAACCCTCCAATGCACAATTCAAAGCCTTTTGAGCATAATTTTTGGCAATCAAAGCAACCTGTTGGTCTTGAGATCCACGAGGTTCAAAATGAACATAAAGAATATAATTCAATAAATATAACAACATATTCACAGTAACATGTAATCTAAATTCAATAGCTCTAGCCCCTGAAACATACAATGGTTCATTCTTCGATCTATTAACCAATAACTTGCCAATCTGTGGTAAAGCATATTTATCTGTAATAACACCAAAACCACTAATCGATTGCTCTAATTGATCAATCAATTGGTCAACTTGAAATCTTCTAGCAGGTTTATTAACATTCAACAAAACTTTCATTGTCTTTGCAATCAAGTCATCAATCTTGGCTTGGGTATGGATATTATTAATGATGGTTAATTCTCTTAGATCATTTTTAAATTCCTCCAAATTTGAACCGTCATCATCAACTTCACCAGGTAATTCAGTATCAGAAAACTCAATATGATTTTGTAAAGCTCTAGGACAACCAAGATTCATACTTTGTGTAACATCCAATGATATTAATTTAAACCAAATTTTCCTCCATAAATGTCTTTGTCTTTCATTACTAAAATTTTCAAAATTTTTAGGATCACGATGAAGTCCAATACTTATAGCCATTTGAATAATCATTCCCAAAAATATTTGAGAATCACCACCATCTGCACCTTCACCATCATCAGGGGAATACATGAAATATAATCTCATATAAAGAGCACACTGAACAATTTTTAAACTTGATTTTCTCATTAATTTTAAATTCGAAAAACATTGTTTCACACAATCAACTAATTTCAAAGGAATTTCATTCTCAGGTTTTTGCAAAAACTGTATAATTGATTGATCTTCTTGGTAATTTTTGGAATGATTTGATGATTTTTTCAATAATTTTGCAGAATTATTCATAGGTAATGTATGCCATGATAATCTAGCAATAATACATACAGTACCAACTAACGCAAAATCAACACCACTTCTTATCTTGATCTTTATTGTCTGATCTTCATCATCTTCTTCACCAAAAATGTATTTCAACTCTTCAATAAATGAAGGCTCATCAACATATGGCATATAAACATACAACACTTCAAAGAATCTTTTGATATGTAACCATAAAACTTTCTTCTTTGGTAAATATTTTTCAAGCATCATTACAGGGTTCTGTGCATATTGTAAAGCTGCTTCTTTATCTGAAAGTTTTGGTTCAGTTTTCCCACTGGACTCACTTTTAGATGAGCTTCTTCTTCTTTTCTTAGTTTTCTTATCTTTGATGACAGGACAACTTGAAGCATTATGAGCATTGAAATCATCCATAAAAGAAGTATCACCAATCATTAATGGACAAACTTTTTCATGTAATTTGTTGTTATGATCACTTGAAGTTTCAGTCTCTGGTGTGTTATTTTCATCCATTGTTTCATCATCTCCCTCGTCTTCAGCTTTACGAACCTCTCTTGTCATGGTTTCAGATCTAACGTGAGACACTGGGCATTTACTGATTGATATTGAAGCTGTGCTCATAACTGGACAAGAACTTGATTCAGTGACAGATTCATTATAATTAAGACTATGACTAACAGGACATTGACCACCTGTAGAATTATCTTTACCAGATACTGGACAAACTTGTGAAGTAGATAATTTTTTACCCTCGCGTACCTGTTCTTGCTCCTGTTGATGTCTAATCATTTTATCTTTAAACTTCATCTCTTCAACCTTCTTCCTCATTTTGAAAATATGAGCCCATAAAACTCGTAGATATGGATCACCTTTCATGATAGCCAACCACGACGTAGCACCCAAATGAACAGTAGTTGTTGATTTTATATGTAACATATCGAATTTTTTCCCAAGGTTAAGTGCTTCATTGGGGAGTGAATCTGTGGATATGTTGTGTTCATGACTTGAATTACTTTCATGATCATCAGCCTCTTCATTAGGTGAAGGTAAATGGTCTTCATTTGGGAAGAGTTGACTCTCCAACTGTCTGATCTTTTCTTTCAATCTTTCAACCTCACTTTCCGGTTCTTGAGGTGGATTTATCTCTGAATTTTGTAAAGGTTGAGCCCAAGGCGGATCAATATAATGACAAAGATGTGCTACACCAGTTCGGTGACACGCTGTGCACACTGGTCTTTTCTTATCACACTTGACTTTCCTTCTCCGACATATTGTACAACTAATGGGCACTCTGTTTCTTCTCTTATTAGCAGCAGCGGCTGTCTTCTTGTCCTTCTTCACCACTTTGTTACTGTTGGCTTTTGATGCTGCAACCATGTTCTTTAACTTCTTGAATACACGGTAAAAATGTCACAAAGCACCTGGTTCAGTATTTATATATAGATTATGATAGCTGACCCAAATGTATGGTATTTGTAAGCGCCTTTCCAACTCCAAAAGCTTCAGAGCTAGGTTTTCAGCTCTCTTTACAAACCCGGATAGTACCCAATCTTTAAATAATAGCACGGTCCACGAGTTTCACAAACAATCACGGTCCAGCTTCCTAAGAAGGCAACAGAAATACCAAGATAAGACACGCACACGCAAACACGCACCAGCTAATTCACGTTGTATTTGATGTCATACAATTAAAATGTTTTCTACTCTACCAAACAATCAGGTCAAAAAAAAAAAATAAAATAAAAAAAAAAATTGGCTTCAAAGAGGCAACAACAGGCTTGGACGCGGAGTTATACAGTACTTTTGCGGTTAAATGAGTTCAAAACACCCAAATTCTGGTCTTAAAGTCTTGAGTGTTGCAACCTGTGATAAAGAAGGTGCTGAAGACACATTTCAAGTGTCTGAAGCAGTTCGTATAAGAGCTATTCCGTTGGTGAACTGGTTTAACCGGTGTAAATCTCATCGCGATCTTCAGTTGTTTACTCCAGGTATCTATAACTTTATAAGCAGCTCTGAACAATCAAGCTATTCGGTATTCCTTCAAGGCTGTGACTGATCTTAATATCTTAGCTCTACTATGTTAAGATGTTAAGTTCGTTATTACTGTACGCATCTTCAACGTCATGAGCCTGGACTTTACCGTTCTAAGCATCCCATTGACCTGATCAATTAAACTTCGGCAGGTGGAAATTAGACACCTTCTTTTTCAATCGCATCTCAAATATTTCAGCCTTTGCCAGACCTTTCAGAAATGAAAAAGGCATGTCCATCATGGTGAATGTATCTCGTATTTATTTTAAGGAGCCAGACTTATTTTGCGGATATTTAGATTCACGTTGAACTGGTTTGCCCAAGAGTATACACCAAGAAGTTTAAACTACAATTAGCAGAACACCGAAAAGTCCCGTAAAGAAAACATCCTGATAGTAACTACGAAGGCCACTGTAACATCAATAAACATGGTATTGGTTCAATAATCATTGATCGTGTAATGAAACATCTGTTCAAGGTCTGATATGGTATTGGATCTGAATGGATCCCATAGATCAGGAATTTCTTGAAGATCTAATTCATTCATTGGAACATTATTAGCTGTGACTGGTGTATTATTCCCAATTCCATTATTATTACTGAAACCGTTGAAATTTGTTGAATTGTTTCCTCCTTCATTAACATTGAAGCTATTCTCAAACATCATTTGATCAAACCAAAGTTGATCATTCTTTGATTTATAACTGTTTAGATCTGTTAGCAATCTTTCTGGACTTGGTGTTTGCCCCAAGGATTCAGTATCCATCAGTTCCAGGGCATTAAGAATCTGTTTTAAATCATTAGTAGAATAAAGGAAGAATCCATCATCTTGAGATCTTAACTCTTCAACAACTTCAACATAATGAGCTTCGATTTGAGTTAATGAATGAGGACCCAATCTTCCCTCCCTATTGATGAAAACTTTTTCAATAATGAAACTTTGAATCTTTGATATTGACCAAGCATGATAATAGGTATCTGAAATATTTGCGCAAGCATCAACAATGAAATAACAAATTTTGAAAGTCAATCTTCCAATCTTGTCAAGTAATTCAAGTCTTTGTTGATCAACGTTAAGACCTAGTAACGCCTTGTGAACTTTGATTCTACCCAATAATGCAATCATAAATTCTGAAATTTTATGAAGGCAAAGCTCAATCTTTGGTAATGCCAAAATACCTATCCCGAAATGTTTATTCAAATTGAACTTTTCATTCTGTTCATCAGGTTTCCTTAAAAAATGAACCGATGTATATAAATATTTGGAAATCCTCAACAATTGTAACATATAATACAATGATTTTTCACTATTTCTTTTATCATTATAATGCAAAAAGAAATTATAATAAATCATAAATAACAATGCGCATGAATCTGCCGTTCCATTGTGAATTCTAAGCTTATTATATCTATGAATAACAGTATCTGAAGGCATTCTTAACAATTCATCATATTTGGGTATTTTTTCAACGTGTTCCTCCAAACCTTTCATTTGATTCAAAACATCTCTAATCTTTGGTGGCTCCCGAACATTCAATATCAGCATCAGCAATGGTCGACAAACTTCATGGATCTTTCTTCTATCATGGAAAGCTTCATTAATGACATATTGTAAGGCAGAATCATTGTGATCCAAGATTGGTATTTGAGTGTCATGGAAAGAATGATTAATAATAGGTGCATAACCAACAAGCATCAGTTGGTAATAATCCATGTACTCCAGCAAATACCACAGTCTTCTTAGTAAATTTGGTTTGGGATATTTTGGTCTCGATACTGTTGGATCTCTATTCAAACCTGATGAAATAGCATGATGTAATAAAGGGCCCATATTTGTGATTGTAGAAGCAGTGATACAATCGCAATCCTCAGGGGCAAAAAAATTATAATGTTGAAGTAGTAAACTCAATTGGAAAATAACAAGGTGTGATTGTTTCAATACTGAAAGCTCTTCAAGGCAAGCTTTCGCTAACGTTACCACATCTTTTGTCACGGGGTGATCCACAATGTATTGATCATTTGGAGATATTGGCTGTGGTAATGGTTTCCCAGCATTATAGACAGATAAAGATGAAAATCTCATAACCATAAGTAGAATTCCTAACGCAGCAAGTTGAAACTTCCCAGTTATGTTCAGCTTATTGTCCCCGGATTTTGAGTCCCTAGGTGGTATTATTCTAGATATCTGTTCAGTGAAGTCTTCTTTATCCAATATTGGTAAGTTGCAGTATAATTCTGATTCAAAAAACTTCTCTATTAATAACCATGTAAGTTTATTATCTTTCAATTCATCTCTCAATGATTCAATGAAGTTTTTCCCTGCGATTTCTGAAGTCTTAGCTGGACACTCAGGAACTGCACTGTCAGTATCATCTTCAGCCATGAACTTATTAGTGAAATAATGATCATCCATTTGACTGTTTTTAATTTTCTTCAAGATTGCATTCTTGTTAAAACAGATAACTAATGCTCGACTATAGATATCCTTTTTCAACAACGTGACCCAAGTCAACGTCCCGTCTGCAAATACACCAGGATCCACATAATTATCTTTGTAAAAATCAAGGATATCGTCACCATCAGCATCATCGCCATCCATAGAATGAGCAGCACGATCAGAATTACCACTGGCGCTATACGTTGATGGGGGTGCGCTTGGACTTAACAAACTTTCCACCCTCAATCTATTTGTGTATTTTGCATCATCAGACTTGACACTCTCAGTTCTTGTTTGAGGGATTCTGACATTGTTAACTTGAAATTGTCGTTGATAAGGTAATTGTTCTTGAGTGTGTTTCTTTACGCGAGGCTTTTTAACTGAGGATTGCACAGGAGTGACAAAATTCTGATCACCAACTTTTATGGTCCACTCAGGTCCTTCATATCGACAAAGTCCACTCTGATTTCTTTTCTTACACGTTCCACAAATCGGTTTCTCTCTATCACACTAGGTGTTGCTGATTAGTAAATGAAAGGAAATAACAATACCACCGAGAATACTCACTTTGGTCTTCTTCTCGCGACAAATAGTACACGACTTGTTGGGACGCTGTCTTTTAACTGGTGCTCCATTCATTATTGATATTCCTATGTGAAAAGAGAGACTGAACTGTGCTATACCTCAACGTCTTGTTGTGAATAGGAAAAGCATTGTGGTTTAAACTTCAGCTTCGGAATAGCCACAGAGGAGCCTGGACTTATGGTTATAAGCCCTGGTCAACTACACACAATGTAAATATTTCATGATTTTTTATTCTTTATATACAAATTAAAACATTGATTCATTAGTAGAATGGAAAAAGAATCTTTCGATATCCATTATGTCAAAGTTGTTTATTACTGGATCATCCATTCTGTCCAATATAGGATCACTGATTGTAGGACCTGAACTAGCTGAAGAAGATCCACCCATGTGACCCTTGTTGTCATAGAGAAGCCCAGTATCAGACTGGAACTGGTTAAACCAAAGAGAGTCATGTTGATTGGCTGCAGAGCTGAATGTCATATCAACTGAGCCTTTTGGTGAAGGACGCTCTGATCCTGTCCCACATCTCTCTAGCTCTTTTACAGATTCATAAATCTGTTTTAAATCATCAATTGAATACTTCATGAACAACTCATCATGATCACGAACCAGGTTCAAATTTTTGATAAATGCTCTATCTGCATCAGAAGCATTTTCAGGGTTGTAAGGACCTCTCTTATTGTATAGAATATCTTTCAATATGAAAGAGTGTATTCTACTCATGGCCCAAGAGTGATAATAAGTATCAGCAATATTCAAAAATCCCTTCAATATGTAGGAAGCTGATCTTAATAAAGAATCTGCAATATTATCAACTAATTCCAACTTTGCTGGATCAAGATCAATGGTGAACACTTTCATAGCTTTGATTCTTGCCAATAATGAAAACATTACTTGAATAGATCTATGAGATAAAAGTTCAATTTCTGGAATGACAAGGATTGGAATACCAAAATGATTCTTCAAATTGTAATCAGAATTATATTCTGTTTCTTCGAGCAAAAAGTTGATTAGTGGGAAAGCACCAGTCATTATCTTGATAATCTCCAACAAGTAGTACAATGACTTGTCTTTGACTCCCCTTTCATTGTAATGGAGATAAATATGATAGTAAATCATGTATAACAAAGAAGTTGTATCAACTAATCCAGCAACAGATGTGAGTTTCTCAAATCTTTGCAAAACAGTATCAGATGGCATCTTCATGATATCACTAACTTTTGGATGAGCTTGTACAAGATTTTCCAAAGGTCTCAAATGTTGTTTCACTGTACTTAACCTTGGAGGATCTCTAACATTCAACAGTAGCATTAACAGTGGGTGACACATCTCATAAATATCTTTTCTTTTATGGATAGCTTGATTAATCGCATACTCTGTTGGGGAATCATAAGGGTTCAAGGAAGGGTATAATGTGTCATAAAATCTAACGTTAATCATCGGAGGACATCCTATATGCATCAATTGGTTATAATCCAAATTGACAACTTTAAACCATAATCTTCTCAACAAATTTGGATTTTCATTACCAGGGTCAGCAACTGATGGATCACGATTTAATCCAGATGAAACAGCAGAGTGAACTAAAGGTCCCATATTTTCATAAGTTTTCATTGAATTACAATCAGAATCTTCTGGGGCAAGCTGGTCATAATAACGAGATAGTAATTGAAATTGGAAAATCTCCAAATGGGCTTCTCTAAATTGACTTATTTCATCATAACATCTATGTGCAGCTGTCATGTACTCTTTTGTCACTGGGTTATTCAAAATGTATAAATCATTTTCAGACAAGTTTTCAGTATTTGATCTCAATGCATTGTATGTTGATAAAGAAGTCAATCTCATGATAATTAATAAAATACCAATTGTGTTTAGTTGCAACTTCTTTCTAATATTTAGAATCACCCTTTGAGAGCTTTTACTTCCTAAAATGTCATACAACTGGGATGTAAATTCCGCCTTGTCAAACAATGGTAATACAAGATACAACTCAGAATCGAAAAACTTTTCAACCAACAACCATATAAGTTTCGAGTCAACTAGTGTGCTCTTAATCATCATCAAAATATCTTTGTTTTTGTATTTGCAAATTTGACCACTAGTGGTGTCTGATATTTCCGCATCAAAATCTTGTTCAACTTTGAATTTCTTGATAAACTCGGTTTCTTTTGTATCCTCTTTTCGGCCACTCTTTGTAACGATGATTTTCTTTCTTCTTGAAGATTCAACAACAGATCTCAAATAAACATCTTTTTTCAACAATGTAACCCAGGATAACACACCTTGAGTAAACATTCTTGGACTACCATAATTATGCTTATAAAAATCAATGACACCATCCTCCTCTATCTCAGGCTCCACTGTGTTATTTATGAAAGTTGGTTCAGTTGTATAAAGATTATCCTTCTTTATTACAGATTCTATCCGTTTTAATTTGTCCCGTAATAATATTAATTGTTCATCAACAGTTTCGCCATTGTGAGTTGAGCTATTATTATTAATTGACCCACCATTGTTCATGACATTAATATTCCAATCAGGTTCCTCATATTTACATTCCCCTGAACGTCCTCTCTTTGCACATGCTCCACAAGTAGGTTTAACTTTATCACACTATAACTTCACATTAATATTTCAATCATGTATTTCCACCTAAATATACGCACCTTTATCTTCTTTTGACGGCAAATGGTACAAGACTTTGTAACTCTCGCTCTCTTCGTCACTGGTGCAGGTCTGTCAAATTCAGGCATATGTATGGGATTCGACATTTTGTTCAATTTAGCACAACATCAAAGTACTTGAAAAGAGTCAGAAAAAAAGCTTGATTCAGCCATTTAATCTCTTAAAAGCGGATTTATTGTTTGTTTAATTGAATTCGCGAATTTTTGAAATTCCCCAGGTGGTACCCTCTCGACCCTTTTGGGCTGTTTGATAAGTGGAAACCATGGCAACGATCTGCCATCAGCGTTCGGTAAAATGAACATAAAGTTTAGCACTTTGATTCAGTTAAGCTTTTTCTTTAATGAAAGCTCATGAAGTCTTTCGTTCTCAATATCCAATACTTTGAAAGAAATCGACCTAGCAATCAGAATATATTCTACCTTGGAATTGTTGTAGAAAATTTCTTATTGTTGATTCAATTGATCGAATTGTTCAGCTGAAACCAGCTCCCTCCACTGGCTTGTCAACTGCACATGATCTCAAAACTAATAGTGGATTTGTTGCCTTTAAAAGAGTAGGTGGCCTTTTAATGGACTTTCGTTGAATAGATCAAAAGGTGCTCTTACAGCTCTTTCAAGTTAAAAAACGAAAGATGTATTGAATGTTAACAATGGTATACAAAACCGCTGAAAAAACATAATTGCATTCTTATGGGCGGCTCGAGATGTTTTTCAAGGAGTTGATTAATGCGTCCTTTAGTACCTTTGCAATTTCAATTTGATTCTGTTGAATCATATTAGTAATTGGAGTTCTTATGCTCTCCGATGCATTGTTGTTAATGTGTTTGAGCGTCAAATTTAGATTAGAGACAAATTGGTTTAGCAGTAAGCCACTTTTATCCTTTGCCAAATCACTAATAGCAGATTTTTCCATCTTTTTTTGACTTGATGGTTGAGGGTTGTTTTGTCGAGAATTCTGTGGAGAACTTGGTTCTGAAGAGTCTGATGATGAATTCAATAGGTTTTGTAAATTATTGGATCTCCGAAATATGTTGAGGATGTCTGTACTTTCTTTCAATTTTTCTAGTGTAGTGTTGACATGTCTCTTGCATGTTTTGCAACTGATAGAATAAACGAATGTTTTATAATCTTTCGGTCCTTTTATTACAATACTCTTTGTAAAACATGATCTGCACTCAAATGAAGTTTTCTCTTTAACAATTTTATTGATGGCAGCTCTGATTTGGTGTTGTTTCTTTGACGTTGTTCGAGTCACTGTAAAACTTCGATATGAACGTTTCAAATTTGAATTGACCTTGGCAGCGTCGGTTTCTGGTGATGATGAGCGTGACCTGTAGCTTGATCTAGACATCTTTAGTCTAACTGATATTGATATGACAAGTAATCGATGATGTGAACTAAACTGCTATCATGAGAGGCCTTTGCTAATGTCGTGTCCTTTTTTTTTGGAACCTCTTCATTTCATCAGGCAAGGTTGAGGGGCCCAAAAACAACAGCCAAAAAGCAAATTAGCTTATTAACCAGTAACTAGTAAATAGAGCACAGCTAAACATCCAAAAAACATCACCAAAGTTGCCAACTATAGTACAATAGCCTGCCTTAACTGTACGATGAGCTGAAGAGTTTATCATCTTTGATCAAGAAATATTTTGTAAAATTGTGGTTTGAACTTTGTACCATCTATTCCAGTTAAATGGATACCTATCATTAGTAGTAACTTCTGAACAGCTAGGTTAATATCTCATCACCTCCATATCCAATTAGCTAATTATTATTCACAGCAACTTCTCATTTGTGGCAGTGAGCACCGATAGCTTCATTAAATCCGTTTTCCTTATGCAAAATTTTCAAGCTGCTTATAAATTCACAAAAAGAAAATGCCGACGCTGGCCAATTAAATGCGACGCGCGCCAACGGTTTGGAATTTGACTTGTGTCTCGGCTTATTTTTGGCGCAAAAAACAGCACGGGCTTTTACCGAAGAGATTCCATCATCATAAATTCCAGATGCTTCCAACTTTCAAGCCAGAGAATATAAAAGGTAACCAAGTTGCTGGATTTAATTAGTTCTTCAACTTGACCAGATTATAGAATAATATAATTCTTAATAAAACAATAATGTCAGAAACAATTGGATTCATCGGTGTCGGTCAAATCGGTGGTGGTGTCGCTCAACTAGCTGTTGATGCTGGTTACAAGGTTGCTTTAAGTAACAGTAGAGGTCCAGAAAGTTTAAAAGATGTTGTTAATAAATTAGGACCATTAGCCACTGCAACAACTTCAGAAGCTATTGCTAAAGACAGTAACATCAAATATGTTGTTCTTTCAGTTCCATTAGTTATTGTTCCAACTTTGTTGCCAAAAATCAATTTAGAAAACAAAATTATCCTTGATACCTCCAACTATTATGCTCAAAGAGAAGGTAAAATCGAATCTTTAGAAGATCATACTTTAACTACATGTGAATATGTCAGCCAATATCTTGATAAATCAAACAAATTGGTTAAAGTTTTCAACAACATTGATTCAGTCCATTTATTAGTTGATGCCACCAAAGAAGTTTCAAAACAAACCACTTTACCAATTGCTGGTGATGACTCTGATGCTAAAGCTGCTGTTACCAAGATTTTAAACAACATCGGTTTCCAAGCTTTAGATTATGGTTTATTGAAAGATAGTTGGAGATCAGAACCAGGTGAACCAATTTATGGTATTCCATATATGCCAGTCACACCTGAAGGATTAGAAAAAGCAGCTGAAAAGAAATACTTTTTGGAAACACCTGCTGAACCACTTTCAAAAGAAGCTGCTCAAAAATTTATTGATGATGCTAAAGTTTTAACCCCAGTTGGTGGTAGTATCAAGGATTTCCCAAAGATTTGGATTGAAATCATAATGGAGAAATACGCTCAACAACAACAATCTAAAGCTTAAGCATGATATAATTTTACGATGATTTGCATACTATATTAAATGTAGAACAAAACTAGATATCTGGTTAATGTTTGTATCTCACAGATCGATCAAGTCTTCATTTTTTGATGAAAAAAGCCTTGATAAGTGGCCAGTAGCCGAGCTTATGGATCAACGATGCTCCAACTCATGACTGTTCGTAATGAACTATTATCTCAAAAAGATACACAGAATATTAGACTCAAAAAAACATAAAACCATCAATAAATTCGATACAATTCATTTCCAAGTGACTATAAAAGACGTGTCCTTGCCGAAATTACCCAATGTGGAATTATCAACGAAGACCAAATCCAAAACATCTTCATCCCCGAAAATAACAAATCAACAACAGCCATACGTTTTATTGTTCTTTATCAAGGTACAACGCATTGCTTCACTCAGTAATAGCCGATCAAGTACTACAGTTCTGGTATATAAGATTGTACCCTTAACTCACTGAAGAAAAATCAGCTGACCCCTTAGTGATATACGCCTCGAAAGATTGAAAGAACATGTCACAATTCTCCTTTCATCATAGCTCTGGTCCTCCAAAGAAAAGACAAAGACTAGTGACATCTTGTTCACAGTGCAGAAAGAAGAAGATCAAGGTAAGTTTCCTCGTTTTGTTTCCGTTTACAAAATTTTGAACTAACAATCAATCCAAAGTGTGATAAGAAAAGACCTATATGTGAATCCTGTTCGAAAACCAATACCAGTCATTTATGCAAATACCAAGAACCATCATGGGATCATGAAACCATTCCTCCAAGTTCCAACTATATGAATGCGGCTAATATACCTATGGCCTATATCACCATGCCTCAGCAGAGTAGACAAAATAGTCAAGGGAATGTTAATAGCGGGAATAGCATAAATGCTCCAACGACAACCTCAACAACAATCAATCCAACAGTCAATAATGACCGTGCAGCTATCAGAGAGTCATCTAATAGTCCAAATGTTAATGAGGAATTGTTCAAATTACGTGAAAAGATTGATTTTTTGGAATCAAACCTACGGGGAAACAATTCTGGAATGAATGCATCGGCTAATAAAGTTACTCAAATGTCCTTTTATGATAGTACTGAGCCTATTTTCGTTAGAGCTGGTAGATTGATTGCTTCTGGTCCTTTATCATTTGCCAGTATAATTACAAGAGATCCATTCTTAAGAGTTTCGTTGTTGAAAGTCCGAAAGGAGAAGAATCAATTATTACCATTACGCCATAAAAATTTAACTACATCTGATTTAGTTAAACAATTGATCATTGAAGATGATTCAAATGGAGTTAAGAGTGAAGGCGAAAAATCTAAAGTTGATGAAGCTTTCAAGACAAGGTTAATTGAAAATGAAGGGTTGGATGAAGTAAAATTGACAAATAGACAAGAAACACAACCATTTAGTACTAGTATTGATTATGAGACTGAAACCATCTCAAAAGTTCAGTCTATTTTGCCAGAAGATAAATTAATGTGGATGCTTGTTGATAAATTTTTCAAATCTATTTTGGCTGGGTTTATACCATTTGTTACAGAGGAAAAATTACGTGAACGTATCAATGATATAATCAAAATTGATCCAAATTCAGGGAAACGTGAAATTAAGATCAATAAAAGATTTGATTTTGCATATATTGGGATGTTATTAATAATATTGAGGTTGACATTTCTAAGTGTTATTCCAACTTCGAACAATACACCAGATGAACAATACATTCTTGCAAACCCAATAACTTTACAATTTATAAATGTTGCCCAAATGTGTCTCAATCAGTTCAGATTATTAAGAAGAGGAGCATTGCCTGTCTTACAATGTTCTTTATTTATGAGATTATATCATAAGTATGCACCAGAAGATGGTGATGGATCTGATGGTGGTGATAGTGAAGTGTTTTTAGGAATGTTGTTGCAAATGGGAAACTCAATTGGTCTGAATCGTGATATGAAACATAGTGAACCATTGAAAAATGATTTCAGACTACATAATTTATGGAGAATGGTTTGGCATGAAATTGTTACATTGGATCTTTATCAAAGTTTAACTATGGGGAACCCTATATTGATTAATACAAATTGTTATGATACAGAGCTACCTAAATTGGAGGATAATGTTGCTAATCATAATATATTGGATATGGGAATATGGAGAGCTGTTGTTGATAATTTTGCAGTGAATGATGAAGTTAATCAAGTTGTTAAAGATATATTGGATGATGTATTAAATTTGAAAAAAATGTGTATTTTACAGAATTTGTTTCCCAAAATTACCAGATTGGAAAATTTGATTAATGAGAAATTTGTCTCTGTTGAATGGATTTTACATTTGGATAATTCTGACTTATATGGAAGCATTATAAAGACTCATAAATTTAAGAATTATATTGAGTTGAAGACTGCATTATATGTTATTTATTATCATATTTATTTGAGAACAGATGATTTTGAGATATTGGTGAAAATGTTAAAGATCTGTATGGAAATCACACCATTGAGTTTGTTATTAACATCAATCAATAACGGTAAAACTAATTATTTTGATGCTATTTTTGGATTTGGTGCACAATTGATTTTAGTCCCAACCATATTGGTTTCTTTACAGAAAACTAATCAGTTAATCACTTCATTAACATCAAGAACTCTTGATTATAAGTATAGTTATCCAAAGACACCTCAAACTAAATCCCAATTGATCAAACAATTAAGAGATAGACTGTTTATTATTGCCAAAGATCTTCGTGATTGTTTCTTGATGTTAAGTTCTGTTTACTATCATTCATGGAGAATAAGTAAATCACAAAATCTAATTTACAGTGTTTTGAAGAATGAGCTTAATAATCTTTGGGATAAGCAAAGTACAATGAATAGAGAAGCTATTAATTTGAACAAAGAAGTGAACCATGTTAAAGCCATGCCAACAAGAAATGAATTAAATGAGATGTCCATAAACGAACTGGAATTGATACTTTCAATTGTCAAGAATCCACACTATGAAACAATTTTGAAGAACAAATTGAAAAATCCTGGTCATAATAAGAACAAGCCACTAATTTCAAAAAATATGACAACTCCAACAACTAGTATATCTGGAGGTGGATCATCTACAGGGTCTACACCAAATAGTTCAACTATCCATATAAAGAATTCAGATTTGACCAATTTAGAGATTGACAAGTTGTGGTTCCAAATGATGTCCAGTAATAACAACCAAATGAATAATTCCACCAATGTATTGCCAGGAAATGAAGACTTGTTGGCGCACGACGATAACTACGCTATGATGGATTTTGATAAATTGATGGGAGACACTTCACCGTATGATATCTTTGGAGATATACCATTTTATCATGAAAGATGAATATATATATTGTTTCAGTCACGTGATGTAGTTCTGCCATTTCTATCGGAGTCAGGTGGCTCTACCGCCTCCCCCTTTTGGGTCACTCTGACTCCGGCTGCGATCTGGGTATGTAAAAAGATGAAAATTTATCGGAAGCGAATGACGGAGCTGAAATTTGGGAAATTGTAAGCAAAACTCAAAACTTTGTTCGAATTTGGTGCCATTATCCTGACATTTCCGATTTTCGAAGCTGCTTAACCTTTTTATCTACCCCGGAAAAGTATACCCAGGAAAAGTATTTAAGGAGTCATCTTGCCCCAGAATCATTTTAAACTGCATTGTTTTTTCAATTGACAAATCAATCTCATTTGAGCTTGCGTAACTAATACATTTATACACCATGTCTAAAATAACGGTCAAGAACCCAATCGTCGAAATGGACGGTGATGAACAAACTAGAATCATATGGCACTTGATTCGTTCTCAATTGGTTCTTCCATATTTAAACATTGATTTGAAATATTACGATTTATCAATTGAATACCGTGATGAGACTAATGATCAAGTCACAATTGATTCTGCAGAAGCTACTTTGAAATATGGGGTTGCTGTTAAATGTGCTACAATTACACCAGATGAAGCTCGTGTGGAAGAATTCAAATTAAAGAAAATGTGGAAATCTCCAAATGGTACAATTAGAAATATCTTGGGTGGTACTGTTTTCAGAGAACCAATCGTTATCCCAAGAATCCCAAGAATTGTACCACAATGGGAAAAACCAATCATCATTGGTAGACATGCTTATGGTGATCAATATCGTGCGACTGATATTATAGTTCCATCAGCTGGTGAATTGAAATTAGTTTTCACTCCAAAAGATGGTGGTGAAGTTCAAGAGTATCCAGTTTTTGAATTCCCAGGTAAAGGTGTTGGTTTGGCCATGTATAATACTGATGAATCAATTGAAGCTTTTGCTGAATCAAGTTTCAAGTTAGCGTTGGAACGTCAATTGAATCTTTACTCTACCACTAAAAACACCATCTTAAAGAAATATGATGGTCGTTTCAAAGATATTTTTGAAAATCTATATGATACAAAATATAAACCATTGTTTGAAGCTAAAGGTATTTGGTTTGAACATCGTTTAATTGATGATATGGTTGCTCAAATGTTGAAATCTAAAGGTGGTTATATCATTGCCATGAAAAATTATGATGGTGATGTTCAATCAGATATTGTTGCTCAAGGTTTTGGTTCATTAGGTTTAATGACCTCAGTCTTGATGACACCTGACGGTAAGGCATTTGAAGCTGAAGCTGCTCATGGTACTGTTACAAGACATTATAGACAACATCAACAAGGTAAAGAAACTTCAACCAACTCAATTGCTTCAATTTTTGCATGGAGTCGTGGTATCATTCAAAGAGGTAAATTAGATGGCACTCCAGATGTTGTTAAATTTGGTGAACTATTAGAGAAGGCTACATTAGATACTGTCCAGGTTGACGGTAAAATGACCAAAGATTTAGCTTTAGCTACTGGTCATACAGAAAGATCTAGTTATGTCACAACTGAAGAATTCATTGAATTGGTTGCAAAAAGACTAGCCACAGTTTACAAGGAAAATTTTTGAGATTGAAACAACGGCAGAGATTCATTACAGTAAATGTACGTTACTTATTTATACTTGTGATTCTAGAAAGATCAAGATTTATCGAAATCATTGTTAACGAGCTCGTAAATCCGTCGGCTTTTAATGGTGGTCCCAATTAGCGATTCTTGGTACCGACACCATAAAGCACCATTTCAAGCTCAATAATACATTGCAATATACCAACAGTTGTTTATAAACTTTCATGAATCTCCTCAAATTCATTTATACTGATTTTCCCATAGTTAAGAGAGCAAACTGAGGGTAACGCCTCGTGGAATTCGCGAACCGGAATAAATCCGCGAATTGATCCTTTATCCAGATCCCAAAAAAACTTTCATCATCAGATTTTGACACCATTTTCTAAATCGAACAGGGAAATAATACGCTTCTTGAATCATCAATAGCTTTCAAGTTGCTTTGTTTAACTAACTCAAGATGAATCTCAGTAAAGACTTGTCAAACTTATCATTGGACCATGATACCAGCTCTTCCTTGATCCATTCTGGCGAAGTGTCTTCAAATGATAATACTCAAAATCGCAACAGTGTTTTCGAGGAAGATGACGACGATGATGATGATGAAGAAGAATTCGATAAAGTTAATCAATCGTTATCCACCAATTTCTCCTATGCTGAAGATAAGACTATCCATGATCAAGATGCTAAACTAAGAGCGTTCGAAGAGATTCCTTTGAAAGATGATGAAAAGAGGAAATCAAGAAGAAGTTCTTCAGCAAAATTTAGTCATCCTCCTCCACCTCCTGCCATAAATAGTCCATCTAAGCAAGCTACGACTTCTGAAACCAATAAAGTACCACCTCCTCCAAAGACTAGATTATCAACCTCTTATAAATTAGGCGCAATTAATGAACATGATCATGAATCTAATGAAACCCCATCTCCTGAATTGATTGAGCTTTACCATAATATCAAGAAATGTCGTGATTTAAGAAAAAAATATCAATCAATTTCATTACAATATCCTGATCAAAATCCTAAAAATGAAGAAAATTGGGAAATTTATCCACCACCACCAAGACCAACCTATAATAATAAACAAATCCTACCAGATTCTGTTCAACCGGATTCCAAGACATTTGATTTAAGCAAGTGTAAAATCCCTGCTAAAGATGATTCTGTTGTTTACAAATTAAACTCTGATGATGTTTTTGAAATGATTGACCTTAAATCAGGTTCCAAAATAGCTGACGTTCCATCATTAAAAGAATACTATATGGATATGGATCAAATCGTGGCAATTTCATCAGATGGTCCAGCCAAATCTTTTGCCTTCAGAAGATTACAATACTTGGAAGCAAGATGGAACTTATACTATTTGTTGAATGATTATGAAGAAACTTCTGTTAGTAAAAAAAATCCTCATAGAGATTTTTATAACGTTAGAAAAGTTGATACACACGTTCACCATTCTGCTTGTATGAACCAAAAGCATTTGTTGAGATTTATTAAGCATAAGATTAAGAATGATCCAGATGAAAAAGTTATTCATAGAGATGGTAAAGTGTTAACGTTAGATGAAGTTTTCAAATCTTTAAATCTAACTGCTTATGATTTATCCATTGATACTTTAGATATGCATGCTCATAAGGATACTTTCCATAGATTTGATAAATTTAATTTGAAATATAACCCAATTGGTGAATCAAGATTAAGAGAAATTTTCCTAAAGACTGATAATTATATTAAGGGTAAATATTTAGCTGATATTACAAAACAAGTTTTCAGTGATTTAGAGAATTCTAAATATCAAATGTGTGAATATAGAATTTCAATTTATGGTCGTTCAATTGATGAATGGTCAAAACTGGCTGATTGGGTCATTGATAATAATTTATTAAGTCATAATGTTAGATGGTTAATTCAAGTTCCAAGATTATATGATATTTACAAGAAAACTGGATTGGTTTCTAGCTTCCAAGATATTATTAAAAACTTATTTCAACCATTATTCGAAGTTTCCCAAGATCCAAGTAAAAATCCAAAACTACACGTCTTCTTGCAAAGAGTCATTGGGTTTGATTCAGTTGATGATGAATCTAAAATTGATAGAAGATTTCATAAAAAATATCCAGTCCCATCATTATGGGATGCTTCACAAAATCCACCATATTCTTATTACTTGTATTATTTATATGCAAATTTAGCTCAATTGAACAATTATAGAGCTAAAAGAGGGTTCAACACTTTTGTCTTGAGACCTCATTCTGGTGAAGCTGGTGATCCTGAACATTTAATCAGTGCATATTTAACTTCAGAGGGTATTTCTCATGGTATCTTGTTAAGAAAGATTCCATTTGTTCAATATTTATACTATTTAGATCAAGTTGGTGTTGCCATGTCCCCATTATCCAATAATGCATTGTTCTTAACCTATGATAAGAACCCATTCCCATATTATTTCAAGAGAGGTTTGAATGTTTCATTATCAACTGATGATCCATTACAATTCTCTTATACTAGAGAACCTTTGATTGAAGAATATTCAGTTGCTGCTCAAATTTATAAATTATCCAATGTTGATATGTGTGAGTTGGCCAAGAATTCAGTTATTCAAAGTGGATGGGAACATAATATCAAGAAACACTGGTTAGGATCAGATTTTGGTAAAGGTGGTATCAATGGTAACGATGTTGAAAAGACTAACGTTCCAGATATTAGAGTTGCTTATAGAGAGGAAACATTATTAACCGAGTACGATCTTATCAATTATTATGCTGGATTGAAATGAACAAGCTTATGACCATTGATTTATTTAATTGATAGAGTACTGAAAAAAGATTTATAATTTGGAATGTTGATGTTTTACCAATTATCTAAAATTTCGATTATGTAAGTTTGGCTGTGGTGATTATATAAGTTTCGCGATTTGTAATTTCTCAAAGTGTATAAAAATGAAGTGAACATTTCAAATTTTAATACTTGTTTTACTAATTCATCATCAAAGTATCAATTGACATATATTCAAAGATGGCTATTGAATTAGGTGTGTATGATACCAGGAACACTTGGGCTCTCAAAACTAACATTTCAACAGAGGAAAGACAACAGGATATGTGTCCGATCTGTAAAACAGATCGATACCTTAGTCCTGATATGAAGTTTCTTGTGAACCCGGAATGTTATCACAAGATGTGTGAATCCTGTGTGGATAGAATATTTGCTCTGGGACCTGCTCCTTGTCCATATCCTGGATGTGATAAGACCTTAAGAAAAAATAAATTCAAGACTCAAATATTTGATGATATTACAGTAGAGAGAGAAGTTGATATAAGGAAAAGAGTTTCTCAAATTTTCAATAAAACATATGAAGACTTCAATGATTTGGATAAATATAATGAATATTTGGAAGAAGTGGAAACTATAATTTTCAATCTTGTTAACAAAATTGATGTTGAAGAAACGGAGGCAAAACTATCAGTTTATGAAGAGAGCAATAAGAGTAAAATTTTGGAAAATAACAACAGTAGGGAGAAAGAATATGAAGATTTCAAGAAACAAGAAGAATTAGAAAAAGAACTGAGATTAAAGAAAATTATGCTAGAGAAACAAATTGAACAAGAAGAGAAAGAAATGAATGAAGCTGCAAGAAGAGAAATTTTGAACAAATTATCAGGTTCACAAGATCCAACACAAATGATTAGTCAAGTTAAGAAATCAATGTTGAAGAAATCATCAGCAAGAAGAAAACAATTGGATGAAATTATGAAGTCATTAAACTCGAAACAAAGTGGTAATGAACAACAAGACACCAATTCCGTTCCTTTCACACCATTCAATGGTGATAGAGTCCTTGCAAAAGATTTCTCAATAAGTCAAGAATATTATGATCCTTTTATTGATGAGTTACAAAAGAAGAAAGACTACATTGCTGCCGGTTTCAAAGCTGAACAGGTTTATGAAAGAGTCTTGAGTGAAGCATTTATTGGGTTGGGATGTTTCATCGAAGAGGAAAAAGCTTCTGCTGTTGCCTAATGACCTCTTAATTGAATTGCATTAACAATAAATCTAGTTATCAATTCTGGATCTTGAGAATCAAACTTATAGTTCTGTATGTTGTTAGTATCAAGAATAGTGTGAATTGTGATCCCAAAAAAACTTACTTTTTTAATGACTTTATAGTCAACAGTTTTTGCAAATTCATTATCATCAACTTTAACTTCCTCTCCACTAATTATCTGAAGATTATAGTCATCTTTTGCACCATTCTCAGAGATATTGATGACAACTAATTCCTTAGAATCATCCTGTATACCAAACCTTTTTAATGAATCCATGATCTTTTAATGTTAATTATATTGCTTCTTGTAGTTGATTATTATCCATACTCACATTTTGTGTAGGGGATAGACTGAATATCACTTCTGAGTGTAGTGTTTTAGTTCTTATCTTGTCCTGTGTATAGTCTAGCAGTGTTCTATATATAGCTGCAATTAATTGTTCAGATGAAACTATTGTGGATGAATTGATAAATGCAAAGTTATACTCTTGGTTACCACTCAGTAGATTTTGCTTTATTTCTGCAGCATTTGTGACATTTGAAAACTTGTGGATAGAGATTTTAAATTGTGGAAATTGTGGAATGGTAAATCTTAAGTGATTTGTGCTCATATTTGAGTATGTGGTCAGTTGGCCATGTATTGAACCTGCTATTGATGTTCAGCTTTTGCCAAAACTTATCCAAGGCGAAAAAAATAAATTGTTTGGGACACTCAAATCTGGCGTATAAGCTTCGGCCGAGAAAGTACTTACTGGAAGATAAAATAGAAAAAAAAACTTGCAATTAATTATTCATCTTGAAAAATTGAATTAGAACTGAATTTGGGACTTAATAGACGTCCCCTGAAGTTGGTGTTTTGTACGAGCAAGTCACTAGTAAAGAATGAATGTATTCTTAACATATTCATTTGTTTAGATGACCCAGATTAAATAACTTCACAGAAGCTCTCCAACCCCTTTACCTTCTATTTGGTAGTGGTGGAGCACCGATATTAGAATAAGATGCACCCGAAGCACCTGGGTATATATTCCTTCTAGGAACGTTAGGTCTTGGTGGTAATCTTGGTGATGTTGGACGTGGTGGTAATCTTGGGGAAAATTCCTCTGGTGAAAGATGTGATGGCGGTGGCCCCGGTGGTGGCATAAATGAATTAGGAGGGGGTCCAGGTGGTGGGAAATGGGAATTTGGTGGTGGTCCAGGTGGTGGTGCAAATTGAGTATCTATTTGTGGTCTTTGAGGTGGAAAGGGTGCTGATGGTCTTTCATATTGTCCAGTTGAAGGTGAGCGAGGAGGTTCCTCTGTAGGCCTTTGATACAGATTTGACGACTGGTTTGCAGCAGATGGGCTAATTGGATCAACTTCAGAATATGCTGGTGGTGGGCCATCTGGATGAGAATCATCAACCTGTTGCCATTCGGGTATCGAATAGTTATTGTTAGTCGATGTTGAAGATCTTCGTGAGTTGCCATGTAAGCTACCACCATCTACCTGAGCAGGTTCCGTATCTTGATTAACTTGAATTGAAGGTATTATGGGCTCGGAATTATTGGTTGAACCATTAGTATTGTTTTGTTGAGTTGAGCCACCGTGGCCATCCAAGGTAATAGCCTCTGTAGACGAAGATTCCAATATCGAGGGATCTGGAGTTCTATTGTTATTAACTGATGATTGTCTGCTTAGTCCATTTGAATTTGAAATGTGTGACTGGATCTCTTCTTCTGCTTCTTGAGCAAAAGGGTTATTGCTTCTTATTCCACTCATTAGATTTCTCCTGTGTACGCTCTTCTTCGCAAACCACGCTATGCTCAAATATAAAGAGCCCTCTTTCCTCACTGAGCTCTTAGGTGTCGGCTTTGACCTTTTTTAAGATGAATCTAACATAAAGGGAGCCTATTAATAGTGAAACTGGCACTAAAATCATGTTCGCCCTCGGAATAGTCACATGATAAAAAAAGTTCCGGATTTTTTTCTGAAAATTTTGGCATTTTCTCGACATGCAAAAAGAGTATCATAATAAACTTTTCAGATTTCAGGACTGAAAAGTATTCAAGTGCTTGAGTTCATAAAATAAGATGCTTAGATCAATCATATCCAAGAGCAGTACCATACAGACTGTGAGTCGTGGTTTCCAAGCCACTGAACAAATACCTATGAAAGCAGGTCCAATTCAATTTGTTCGTGGTAAACGTACCAAAAGAACTAGTTCAGTTTCACCAGCTACACAAAGAATCATTACACAATTATCCGTTTTCAGTGCGAGAAAGAAAGTTCCAAGAGTTTTGAAATTATGTGCTGAAGATCTTGTGAGACATGACACAATTACTAAAGCCTGGGCTGTCTACCAAAAAGATAAAAGAACAAAACTACAAGATAACCTTGCTAAACAATATAATGCTATGAACAATGCTATGGAAGATTTGAAACAAAGCAACAGAGAACTATATGAGCTGGCTAATGCTAAACAAATTGGTAAAAGATTCCCATTGGATGCTAGAATTCCAACACAATATCCACCAAATAAGATATGGTATTATGATTTTACTCCAAAAGAACCAAAACAAGATAAGAAATAAGACAAACTTTCATGAACATAGAGCAGTGTATATAGCATAATAAGGGAGAGAATGGATGAGGTTATATAATGAAAATGCTGTAGGGATTATTTGATTTTTCCTCTCCTAATTTTGATTCTGAATTTAACGCTTTCATTATATGGGTTAAGACTGACTTCATGTCTACGATATGTTAATAACTTAGCTATTCATGAATTGTTGGAACAGCATCAGAACCGAAAACAGTAATCATTTCAGAATTTAAATCATCGTTGGAATTCGCGACAGCTAAACCTGAAGAAACTGCGGAGCGCATTTTCTCGTACTTTTTGGTGATGTCCATGTCGAAGACCAAAATACAATTCATTACAAATCAAATCTTCTATTCTTTCTTTCCATCATGTTCAAAACAGGTTCGACTACGAGAAAATATGAGCACTTCGTTACCAAAGCCAGTATGCTTGGAAACAGTCACTGAGATGAACGAAATGAATGAAGTCAACATCTCAAACAATCCTTTAGATTCTATTCAAACCAATGAAAAACCAATAATGTCATTTAGAAATCCACCTGCAAATTTATATCGTGTTATTGCTCTATGCTGCTGGGGACTTGGTGCTGGAATGACAGATGGTGTAATCGGATCTCTATTGCCCTTCATAGAAGATTACTACAAAGTTAGCTATGGTATTGTTTCGTTGTTATGGTTAGGTAACGCACTAGGATACATATTGATTGGTTTGATAGGATATCAGATTGATAATTGGCTAGGTAAATGGAAATCATTGATAGTTGGCTGTGTTTTCCATATTGCAATGAGTGCTATATTGATTAGTGGTACAAAATTTCCTGTGATTTGTGTAGCAATGTTCTTTGGTGGAATTGGTTGTGCAATAAATATGTCACAATTGAACATTTTCCTACCAATGCTTGGTGCCAAATACATCGGGATTTATAGCGGGTTTTATGGTACTGGTGCATTTGCAGGCCCATTATTAGCAACCGTTATGACTGATCGTCATGTTAAATGGAATTATTTTTATTTCATTCTGGTAGGATTGACACTTTTCAATTTGGTCTTTATCGGAATAACTTTCAGGAACTATGATACTGATTTTATTAATTATAGATCGGGTATTGATGAAGATGAAAATGAAAATGAACAGAGTCAGGAACCAACGTCTAAACAGCATGATTTTATATCAGCATTCAAAAATTTCAGAACCTGGTTAGGTTGCATATTTGTGTTTTTCTATCAAGGAGCTGAGGTTTCAATGGGAGGCTGGGTTGTTACTTTCATACTTACGTATAGAAAAGGAGATGCTAATTCTGTTGGGTTTGTATCTTCTGGGTTCTGGGCTGGTGTTACTATAGGTCGATTTCTTTTAACAAATCCATTAATCAAATATATGGGAAACAGAAGATCTGTACTCATACTAGCAATAGTGATAATGGTGTTTGATGTGCTTACTTGGTTAGTTCCAGAAAAGATTGCTGCCGGATTATTTGCTTCTATGGCTGGATTATTTATAGGACCTATCTATCCAATTATGATTACGTTATTATCCCAGATCTTACCAAGAAAGATTAGATTTTGCTCACTGGTGTTGATTAGTGCATTTGGAAGTTCAGGTGGAAGTGCAGTACCATTTATGGTGGGTATGATAAGTCAAGTTCGTGGAACATTTGTTCTTCATCCAATTTTCCTAGGATGCTACGTTTTATTGTTTCTATCTTGGATTTTCTTGCCAAACATTGAGAGGAAAGGTGCTATAAGAAATTACTGGCAAAGGTTCTGGTGAGATCTTTCCTATGATTTTCCCTTTAGATATGTACTAATGAAGGTTTCGTTATTAGTCTCTTTTTTCGTATATTTTTTCGTCTTTATAACGCCTTTTGTCGCTTTTTGCGGAGATCTGAGCGCGAATTCGGAAATTACAGATTTCACGAGCATTGTCCCGTTGAAAACAAATATACCGTACTGATTTAAATTTAGCTCCTGTATAAAAAGGATTGAACTAGGACTTTATCAAATTCAAGATGAAAGGATTTGAAAGAAAGAAAGTACAATTGTAACCTGCTTGATTGTTAAGTTGGTTTTCCAATTTGTTTTTATAAGACAGAGAAGATGACTGAACAGGGCAAACCAATCCAATTGGATACAATGAACCATTCTACTTTAGCTGATTACACCACTTCCAACTTTCAGACTCTATCCCAAGTTAATAGTGAACGCAATTCAACTTCCAACGATGCTTCCCAACGAATTGACAACACTAAACCAATCATGACATTGAATAACCCGCCTAGAAACCTATACCGTGTAATTTCAGCTTGCTCTTGGGGTTTAGGCACAGGCATGACAGCTGGTGTCATTGGGTCATTGTTACCGTTTATTGAAGCTTATTATAAGGTAAACTATGCAATTGTATCACTTTTATGGTTGGGTAATGCCTTAGGGTATATACTTATTGGATTAATTGGGCATCACATAGATATCAAAATCGGCAAATGGAAAAGTTTAATGGTTGGTGCAATTTGTCACATTGCAATGAGTTCCATCATGATCACGGGGACAAGATTCCCAGCAATTATAATCGCAATGTTTCTTGGTGGTGTTGGAGCTGCTCTCAACTTGGGTAATTTCAATACTTTCCTACCAAGTTTGGGTACAAAATATCCGGGTATATATCATGGGTGCTATGGTATTGGTGCTTGTGCTGGTCCTTTGTTTGCAATCTTAATGACAAATAATGGTATTCAATGGAACTATTTCTATTATGTGGTTTTAGGGTTGACATTGTTCAATCTGGTTTTCTTAACCCTTGCTTTCAAAGGTATCGATATAGACATTGAGAATTACACTACAGAGAGCGATAAAGACGAATCAGAAGACACTTCAAACCAAGATCAAAAGCACCATGATTTTAAGGCTGCTTTGAAGGACTTCAGAACCTGGATTGGCTGTGCTTTTATCTTCTTCTATCAAGGCTCAGAGGTTTCAATGGGTGGCTGGGTGGTCACATTCATCTTGAACTACAGAAAAGGAAATCCAACATCAGTAGGTTATGTATCATCTGGGTTCTGGGCAGGAGTCACTATTGGTCGTTTCTTGTTGACTTCTCCTTTAATTAAATACTGTGGTAATAAAAGATCCGTGATTGTTCTCATTGGTGTTATTATGGCATTTGATATTTTGACATGGCTTGTTCCTGAAAAGATTGCAGCAGGTCTCTTTGCCTCATTAGCAGGGCTATTCATCGGTCCTATTTATCCAATGATGATTGTCTTTTTAACCAGGATTTTACCAAGGAAAATAAGATATTGTTCTTTAGTTTTAGCAACTGCTTTTGGGAGCTCAGGTGGAAGTGCAATACCGTTTTTGGTGGGTATTTTGAGTCAAATTAGTGGAACATTTGTTCTTCATCCTATCTTTTTGGGATGCTATGTTTTGATGTTTCTATCTTGGATATTCCTACCAAACATTGAGAGAAAAGGTGCAATAAAACACTATTGGCAAAGAATTTGGTAACTAGGTTCACTAATATAAGCCTGATTTGTAAGGTAGCTATCCAATATATGATTTAACTGCTTTATACCAAGTTCCAAGTAAATGTGTACTATTTTCATGTATTTTTCGGTTTAAAACGCCTTTTGACGCCTTTTGCGAAACTCTGGCGCCGCATACTCAGATTAGGAAATCTTTATTTTCGCGTGCTTTTTTCCGGGGAAGACAGCGTATTATATTTAGAATTGAATCAATAAGAAAATGATTTTATAGCATCAATGTCTTTCAATGATAGAGTGGAGTTCATCAGTCGCATCGATATTAAGCTGTTCTATTCACCCTTATATCTCTAAGCAATAAGATGTCACCACAGGGCAAAGCTATAGAGTTAGATAGCTTCAACCAAACCACTTTCAACAAAGACTCCACACCAAATACTCAACTATCTCACGTCAATAATGAGTGTAATTCACGCGTTGATGAAGCTACGGAGCAACTTGATAGTGGTAAGCCAATAATGACTTTCAGAAATCCCCCAAGAAACTTGTATCGTGTCATTACAGCTTGCTGCTGGGGTCTGGGTGCTGGTATGACTGATGGTGTTGTCGGGTCATTACTACCATTCATTGAAGCTTATTATGGAATAAATTATGCAATAGTGTCTTTGCTATGGCTAGGTAATGCGTTGGGATATATACTTATTGGATTAGTTGGTCATCACATAGACGTTAAGATTGGAAAATGGAAAAGTTTGATTTTTGGTGCAATTTGTCACATTGCAATGAGTGCTATCTTGGTTAGTGGAACCAAATATCCTGTGATGGTCGCGGCAATGTTCTTTGGTGGAGTTGGATGTGCCCTCAATTTGGGTAATTTTAACACATTTCTACCAAGTTTAGGTGCAAAGTATTCTGGTACATATCATGGATGCTATGGTGTTGGTGCTTGTGCTGGTCCTTTAATCGCAACTTTGATGACAGATAATGGAATTCAATGGAATTACTTTTACTATGTCCTTTTAGGGTTAACGCTGTTCAATTTAGTGTTTTTGACTATTGCATTCAAAGGTATAGATGAAGACTTGAAAACTTATACCTTTGAGAATGATAAAGATGATGAAAGCACAATTAGCTCCGATCAAAAACAACATGACTTCAAAGCAGCGTTCAAAGATTTCAGAACTTGGCTTGGTTGCGTGTTTATCTTCTTCTACCAAGGTTCAGAGGTTTCAATGGGTGGTTGGGTGGTTACATTCATTTTGACTTACAGAAAAGGAAACCCAACTTCAGTCGGCTATGTATCATCTGGATTTTGGGCAGGAGTTACAATTGGTCGTTTCCTATTGACTAGTCCTTTGATCAAGTATTGTGGTAATAGAAGATCTGTAATTGTTCTAATTGGGCTCATCATAGGATTTGATATTTTGACATGGTTGGTTCCTGAAAAGATTGCAGCGGGTCTATTTGCTTCCTTAGCAGGATTGTTTATTGGTCCTATTTACCCAATGATGATTGTTTTCTTAACCAATATACTACCAAGAAAGATTAGATTTTGCTCATTAGTCCTTGCAAGTGCATTTGGAAGCTCAGGAGGTAGTGCTGTCCCATTTATGGTTGGTATGTTGAGTCAAGTCTCTGGAACCTATGTCCTACATCCTATATTCTTGGGATGCTATGCTGCAATGTTCTTTGCATGGGTGTTGATGCCTAATATTGAAAGAAAGGGTGCTATAAGAACCTTTTGGCAAAGATTTTGGTAAGGAATTTATACTTGTAGTGGCTAAATAAAAGACATATTTTCCGCCGCATTCATTTTTGTAGCTACATTACTTCTAAAGGTTATACACGAATGATGTTGTATTATGATCTCTGAACTAATACTAGTTACTATGCCTCAAAATTTATCTGCATCACCAAAACTTTTGCCATAAGTTTTTGTGTGCTCCCTTTCTCTCAATATTAGGCATCATAATCCAAACTATAAACATCACAGCATAACAAGCAAGGAAAATAGGATGAAGAACATAGGTTCCTGAGACTTGACTCAACATACCAACCATAAATGGGACTGCACTACCTCCTGAACTTCCAAAAGCAGTCATCAACACCATTGAGCAAAATCTGATACGTCTTGGTAATGTTCTTGCAAAGAATGAGTAAAGAATTGGAACAATTGGTCCAATAAAGACACCTGCTAATGATGCAAATACACCGGCAGCGATTTGTTCAGGTATGAGCCATGTTAGTATATCAAATGCAATGCAGAGTACTGCTAATATTATGACTGATCTTCTACTCCCAATATATTTAATCATAGAACTTGTCAAAAAGAACCTACCCACTGTTACTCCAGCCCAAAACCCAGAGGAAACAAAACCAACAGTTGAAGGGTTCCCTTTTCTATAGTTTAAGATGAAAGTAACAACCCAACCTCCCATTGACACTTCTGAACCTTGATAAAAAAATATAAAGATGCACCCTAGCCAGGTCCTCAAATCTTTTAAAGCAGCAACAAAATCGTGGTTCTTTTTGACACCAGCTTCAGCTTCATCATTGTCATCGTTATAGTAAGGTTTTAGATCTTCATCGCATCCTTTAAAAGTTATCATCATGGATACAGTATTTATCAAACTCAAACCCAACAAACAAAAATAAAAGTAGTTCCACTTCAAACCTCTATCAGTCATCACTGTAGCTAACAAAGGACCTGCACATGCTCCAACGCCGTAACACCCATGATATATTCCTAAATATTTTGGCCCCAGCTTTGACAAAAAGATATTCAATTGGCTCAACCCAATAGCACCACCTACACCACCAAAGAACAAACCAACAACCAACACAGGGAACAGTGTGCCACTTGCTAAAATAGAACTCATAATTATATAGCAGAAAGCAGATAAGATTAATGATTTCCATTTCCCTATAAAATCATCAAGATAATGACCAGTGAAGCCAATAAGAATCCATCCCAGTGCATTCCCCAGCCATAGTAACGAAACTATTGCATAGTTGATATTGTACTGTTTTTCGATATGTGGAAGTAAGGAACCAAGAACACCGTCCGTCATACCTGCACCTAAAACCCATACACATGCTGAAAAAAAATAAATCGATATATATTCTTTGGAGGTGAGTGTAATGTCATTTGTGGGCTCTCATGTTGTTGTGGTTGTTGTTCTGGATCTTGTTGTGATTGTGATGATCTATTGGACCCTGAGCTTTGGAATGACGTTGATCTATTGCTTCGATTGTCAATGTGTTCCAAAGGAAATGAACCGCTTTCAAAGTTCATCCTTGAGTGATTTGATTGGTTTGAGCATTTATTAGCATCCATTTTCTGACAAATCGGTTTGAATTGATAGAGGTAATTGTAATTTGTTATTGATCAAAACTCAAGAACCACCAGGTTTTATGTACCTCCACATTTGACAGTATACGGGTCAATAAGGACAATGGGACGTTACAGCGAGAATTACTAATTAAAGCAGTTATTGTTGCTAAGTTTGAGTATGATTTTGAAGCAGCCATTATACGTAACTCTGTCTGTAATTGTCATTAGCCAGTATACTGCTATCATTTAGATTCTAATAATATAATTTGTTGATCATCACATAAAACGGGATGAAGCATTTTTTTTTCGTGAAATCTTCCTCCCATACAAATTTTTAAAAGCTCGTGGCCGTAACACCAAATCCGCTGCCCGAACCATGAAAACTTCATCAAAATCAAGGTCCACAAAACAGGTCAAGTTCAAACACTCATAAAACATACAGTTTGCGATTTATTTATTAGATATTGTAGATATAGATTTAGAATTGGCAAATTAATATGACTACCAATTTTCAGAGACATACCACCTGTAGTGGTTGTTCTGTAATTTTGTCCAAAGTCGACCTCCATAGTTAACTCCTGGCCGAAGACATTTGTCCAAGGTGTGATGAAAGGCCAACTTCAGAATTTGAAGGAAACGAAGCACTTAAAAGGTTAAAAGACTATATATGTATTTCAATTGGACTCAGAAACTATTTGGCTCTTCAAGTGCTAAAATCTGATAAGTTTTGAATAGTTTTGTGAATTTGTCGCCTAATGGCTTTGGACTTTGGACAACACCAGTGGGAGATAGAAAACTTTAACTAGACATCTAGAGAGTTGCAGCGCCTTTTACTGAAATATAACCACAACATTACAGATCTATAGCAATGAAGTTATTTAATAGTTCAAAACTATATTTCCAAACAAGCGCAGCTAGTAGATGTCTTCTTACCTTGAGAAACCACGGTATAAGACCAGCCTAATGACACGCCATCCAATGGCAGGTTTTTTCACGTCCAGAAAAAAAATTCCTACCACAAGAAACACGAACGCCCTATATCAATCATTATAGACCTCCAAATGACACAACAACCTAACTTGAATCGATCAATGGTTAATAGTTTGATAGAGGATATCAAGTTTCGCTTCACGCCCCACCTATTTCGGTCCCAGCGATGTCACATTCACCAAAATAAACACTCAAATATAAGGCAAAAAATATCTTATTATTGAAATTACATCAAAATCAGAGGATCACTACATCCATATTGATTCAAACTCTAGTGAATCTTACTCAAGTGATTGAATCTAATCAAACATGGTTAAACATTGGTGCTAAACCAACTAAGTCAATGATTTTAATCAACCGCAATTTTCAATTAATCAGCTTTCTTGTCCAGTAATATCGTAAAAACAATCTATTTATTTGTTATTGATGTCAAACTTCTTTTCGGTACCACTTCAGCTTCAAAATTGTCGAATATTCGATTTTTAATGATTTGGATATGGCTGGAATCGATCCTGCGCCCTTCTGTAAGTAAAAAAAAAGAGAGTACTAGCCAAAAGGTTACTAGTTGATTGCTCAAAATATTTAAGGAAACTTGAACGACTGATCATGGGTCGAGCGTGCCTTTATCAATTTTTAAAACAAGCTAATAACTATGAACACAAAAGTGATTGTCTAATAAAATTAAGTTCAGGATACCCAGAATTCTTCAAGGATTCTTTTGATATGTTTTTTGAAGTTATATCTTTACTTTTTTTTTGCGTTTTGGAATTTATCCAAAGTTTATAGATGTACTATATTATAATTCTAATTTCAAAATGTCTTAATGAAAATAAAAAAAAAAAATTCGAAAGTCTAATTTTAGCACCATTCAATAGAGAATTCAATGGAGTTTATTTTTCTATTTTTTAGATCGCTTTAATCGTATTGCATTGCGTGAATCTTTGCGTTCAAAATATGCAAAATTCCCATAGTTAAGAAAACTGGTGAAGACACACTTGAAAAACGAGAAACCTTTTAACTTAAACCCACAGAAGTACTTCAAAGAGGTTTAATTAGTTCAATGTCATAGATGTGATTACAAGAGTGAAACCATTGAAACCAGCGGGGCGTAAGGATTCGTTTGATACTATTTTGTTTATGTTTCTGGGTTGGCGTTGTGTAAACAGACGCGTTAAAAGGGTATCAGCTACAAAGGTAAACAAACTTCAGAAAACTTCCTCTAGTATGTTATCTAAAAAGATACAAGGTTCAATATGGGGCTCTTTTTGATCGCAATGACCCGTAGATTCTACTGGTAT